AAAACGAGCTGCTAAATAAGATAAGGGGCCGTGGTGGCCAATTGGTTAAGGCGTCTGACATTCTGCTACCACTAGCCCTGCACCAATGGGTCACGGGTTCAAGACCTACGTGGAGTAGACGTCGCCAGGTAATGACCGTATAGGTCGGTGGTTTTTCTCCTGGAACTCCGACTTTTATTCACCCGAAAATTAAACCTGGCACGTCATTAAATGACTATAGCTGTTAATAGGACATAAAACACAAACACACCAAAGCTAATTAAGCCATGGATATTCAAAGATGCATATATATGTTGGACTAAATAGGTTTTATCGGAACTTTTCGAAAACGGGGAAATACTCATTTACGTAAAATGCCGAGTGTTCCAGATAGCATACTTACCTGTTAAGTTCATAATAGCACAGGGTTGTGTATGATTAATCTCGTTTAATCTGTTTCATGCGGTTAATAGGTGGTTAGCTAGATATAGAAGAATTAGGTCAAAATCGTCGATAAGCGCATTATAAGCAGATTTATTTCATATACCCTTTATATGTACATGTAGGCTATAGAATTCACGGTTTATTTTGTTCTAAGGAAAAATAACTTAAATCCAATGAACTGGAATGTTTCTTTCAAAATAACGTACATTTTTCTTTTCAATAAATTCTAGTTATAATGAAACTGCTTGGTACATGTATCTTAAAAAAAAAAGGAAATCTTGGAATTAGTTAGTACCGATGAAATAATGAGTCAAGTAATAACCGTTATAATATTTTTAATTGATGATTTTTTTCAACGTTTCTGTTCGCTTCAAGTTGATATAATATTTAACAGAATGATAACAAAATTGACAGAAACGGACAGAAATGAGTTAAAAGCAGGTAAACCGTATGAAAATATTGATAAACACAATACATTTATAAATAAATAAGTTGAAGTACCCAAACACACGCATATAACAGTGTTGGATGAATTGTGTCAAATTTGAAAATGATACCAAAAGGGCAAAATAAGATTAACAAAACAGTGATATACAATGCTTGAATATGTTTAATGTCAGGAAGACTATATAGTACTGATTTGTGTTAGGAAGGCTTTAGACACAAGTTGCCATTGTAGTGAAACATTCTTCTCCTTTTTAATTCTTTGTGTCCGAGATTCAGTATGTTTTGCGAGGGTGGCTCTCGTGAAATATAATTAATCTCAGAGACACAAATAATCGTGTTTTACCAGAAGACTTATTAGTATTTTATCAACTGAACATTAACACAGCAGCCGGGATAATCAGGTTGACGTACCAGTGTTGTCGTCTGCTTGGTCACAAGGAACTGGGCTGGGTGCTCCTGGCCATATTTCTGGAGAAGGTCTGAATAAGGGAATATGACCGGGGAAACTCGAGTGCGGGAGGGGGACACGATATTTCATTTTCCTGTAATAGGATCAATATAATCTATACAGACTTGCTGTTTTATAGATGCAGTATTATAACATTACTTGTATAATGCGAGGAAAACAAAAATTCTTGCATACGTTACTAAGAAAATTTCTTTCTGATGTACTGTGCATGAACTACTAAAATCGGTATTCGTGTCCTTAAATTAACCTGTTCTCTGTGTGTGTTGACCTAGTTCTCAGCCAGGTACGATGTTTACTTATACGAACAATAATAATAAACCTTACTCGAACGATAAATCTGGATTAGGGTCAGGTAACCGATCAATAGGCTAGGTATACGATTATTGTATCTACCTGGTAACACTTGCATAATCCAAACAGTTTGGCAAAATAACATTTACACAATGCTTACACAGATATTCAGGATTAGCTTCCACCATAATACATGGCACCAAACCCTCTTAGTTTTATAGGTATTATGTAGGTGAGGGCTATATTAAGAATTGGGCCGGTGTGTCGTTACACAATTGTAAACCAGAAAAAAATGTCGATTTGTAATATTTACAGAAGTATGAAGTTCGTTTTCTAAATATTTCTACTAATCGAAAAGCTCTAAGATTGGACAGTTTACCTATTTTTTACATTATAATTATCTAGATTATTAGATGTGTGTATTTTGACAATGGTACAGCAAATCTTATTTCATTTTATGTCATTTCTCGCTGCTTTTATCAACGGAAATTACATACGTAGCAAACAAAATATCTTTTTACAGTAGATGAAATATTAAATTAAAGTACATGGATGCATAGTTGGTATCCTCAAACTACATTTATTACTCTATAGACACCCGTGTCGCACCTGTACCCGCCTCGCGCGGCTACCTGTGTCACTTTGGCCTCATATCCGGACATTAGTACACCTGTAATGCATGGCATTCCCGAAGCATATATAAAATAAGACAAGACTATAAAAGCCTTTATAACTATCATAGCCAATTCTATTATTATTCTTTCATTTCTAGCTAATACAGATAGTTGTCGACAGCAATGTTTGCTGATGTATTCAGACATTCTTGTGTTAAAATTATGTTCAAATTTTAAATATAATGTGTTACGATGCAGTGTTGCACATACACTCATAACTTTACTAACGCATTCAATGCAATAAACACAGACCTTACTAGCTGGTCTCCATTTTTACAGACAGAATGAAACAAGTCCTGATTGATTGCTAACGTCACACAACCAGAATTGGTACAATTATGACAGTTTTTCAGTGATATTTAAAAATACCAATCATCTTGTGTCAGGAATGCTTATTGATTCTTGACAAATACAGCCCATGGTGGTTAATTTTTATAGAAAAGTTTCAATTTAAGTAGTTTGCTTAAAAGTAGAACGCTAAACTCTTCGAGAGATTTCGTCCGTTTTTCGGCCATGATAGTTGCCAAAATAGGTACACAATATCACAGGCTATGAAACATGTTTTTATTTCTACTAGTTGATGTGCCGATTGCAACAAAATATATTGCTTTTCTAAATGCTGAACCTTAATTGTGCATATACACTTTTATATTATCCAGTTATATGGATCAGAAATCAACAATTAAACATACTTAGCATTAACCCCTTCACAATCCTCCAAACATTCGACGTATGTCGTTTTTTTCCGGTTTTCTTACATGTTTATTTTGAAGTCATTGTGTGCTCTTAACGTAAAACTACCTGGTGGAAATGCTGATACATGTTCCTGTTGTTACACAATCAGAGAAAAATGCACAAAATTAATTCCATTTAAACCATGTTCTTATCGTGTATCAAATGGGGTAGTTTACCAATGGTGGAAGCGTGACGTTCCATTTAACTTGAACTATAATCGAAATTGTAACTTTCACATTGATCTTGATACGTTTTATTACATACACAGTCACTCTTGCTATAGTAATACATGTAGTTTCGGTGACATGCAGTACCACGTTCTGTAGATACAAGAAGTTATATTATCCAACGTAGTCAGGATTCCCCTTTTGGCAGGAATCATCGGTTATGATCTCCGACTCGACGAATTGAAACAAGTATGGATTCCAAGCATTGGTATCGTGACGTCATTTTTCCTTGGTCATCGTTTTTAGCTTATGCCATGGTGCGGCGTCCGTCGTCATCTTATTATATTAAACATCTTATTCTGAATAACCCAGAGGCCTAGGGTGACGATATTTGGCCAGTAGCATGCTATGTTGAAGGGCTACCAAGTTTGTTCAAGTGAATGACGTTCACCTACTTTCAAGTTCACAGGGATCAAATATGTTAAAAACTTTAAACAACTTTTTCTGAATAACCAAAATGCACACGGTGATGCTATTTGGCCAGTAGCATACTGCGATGAAGAGCTATCAAGTTTATTCAAATGAATGACCTTTACTCAAATTCAAGGTCACGGGGATCAAATATGTTTAAAACCTTTAAACAACTTCTTCTCAATAACCAAAAGGGTTATGATTATGCTATTTGGCCAGTAGCATGCTGTGATGAACGGCTACCAAGTTTGTTCAAATGAATGACTTTAACAAATATTCAAGGTCACAATGGTCAAATATGTTAAAACCTTTAAACAACTTCTTCTAAATAACAAAAGGGCATAGGATGATAGTATTTGGCCAGTAGCATGCTGTGATGAAGGGCTACCAAGTTAATTCAAATAAATTAACTTCACATATATTCAAGGTCACCGAAGTCAAATATGTTTAAAACCTTTAAACATCTTCTTCTGAATAACCACGTAGCCTAGAAAAATGTTTTTGGCCAGTCATTTGCTGGCATGAAGGGCTACCAAGTTTGTTAAAATGAATGACCTTGAGTTATATTCAAGGTCACAGGGATCAAATATGTCTAAAACCTTTAAACAACTCCTTCTCAATAACCGAAAGTCCTATGGTCAGTAGCATGCTGGGATAAAAGGCTACACTGTTTGTTCAATTGAATGACCTTGACTTATATTCAAGGTCACAGGGGTCATTATATGTTTAAATATTTAAATGACCTTTTCTATTTAACCAAAAGGTCCAGGGTAATGATATTTAGCCAAAAGCATGCTGGGTTGGACGACTTTAAACTCTGTTCGACCTAATGCCCTTGATCGACATTCAAGGTCACAGGCGTCATATGTATAAAATTGTTAATAGGTTATTATGAATCAAACAATCATATTCTGCCTGTAGCTGTATTTTAGTCCACTTTTAAGATAACAAGTATGAGATTAACACCAGGTGAGCGATTCAGGCCTTTTGGGCCTGTTGTTTTTGGTTGCTGTAGTTGGTAAGGATCAGTAGTGTTTTACAGAAAATATGTTTGTGAAGAACAATTGTAGTTCTATAACAAAAGCAATACCACACATACATTTGTATATGTATGTGTTAACCTGACGTCACAGATTACGCTGTTTTATTGCCAAGTTGCATATACCGTATACCGGGAAACTTTCGCCCAGTCAAATATTCGCCCTTCATTGTAAATATGAATATTCGCCCAGTGATAATTTCGCCTTCCACACGTCCTTAGTATGTAGTATGGCAATAGTCATTGAAAATGTTAGTTATCACACAAAGAATATAATTCCCACATGTGGCAAAAACTCCTTTTATTTTATAACACACACTATACAACGATTTGAAACATCAGAAAATACTTACAAATATCATGGTACACTAATGAATGTAAATATCATAATTAGAAAACTCATAATTAAAAATATGTACATTTTATCTTCAGCTTTTACATCCCTCACCAGCTGTGTTTAAGGACAATACACATCCTCATTACCAGATTTCTTAATACAAGTAATGTTGAAGGATACACGTCCTCATTACGAGATCTCTTAATACCAGTTGTGTTGAAGGACACAACACGTTCTCATTACAAGATTTACAAACACCAGTTTCGTTGAAGACATTTCACGTCCTCATTACGAGATATGTAATACCATTTGTGTTGAAGGACATGCCACGTCATCATTACACCAGTTGTGTTGATGGGAAAACTACGTCTTCATTACGAGATTTTGAAACAACACTAGTCATGCTACGACAATGGAAAGTAATTATATCAATGAATTGGGCAATAAAACAATTGAAATATTCAATGAAATACAAATTCGTGAGATATTATCGAAGAAATTTGGCACGTAGGGAATACAGTCACGCATTTCAAACCTACACAAATCCAAGATACAATATTATGATGTGACATTATATTTACAATAATGAAATTTTGCTTCTCACAAGCATTGTTTAGTGTAAAACCGATGGCAATTACTGACTGTCATTTTTGTACGTCCATGTTTTATTGGCCGAAAAATGACATTATCAAAAATATGGAGTGCGCCGATTGAAAAATTGCAAAATGAATGCAGTTCAATTTAGAAATATTGGACGTGAACATAACAAAATGTTTTGGCCATTCTTTTAATATCACTTAAAGTCACTTTTTCAATGGTATATTTAGTTTCGGCAAATATAAAAAAGTAATTATGAATATGTTGATACTTTCGTTCTAGCAGAATTATAATGCAACATCATTTCCAAAACTAACTAAAATATTTATTGTTATTCTGAGGGAAACATATTTGTTTGAGTGAACAATATAACGTATTTGAGAACTATGTAATGCTCAGGACTACAAAGGCAATTGTAGGACTACAAGTTCCGATGGAACAGGATCACGAGTGACGTCAGGACGCAAAGCAGTATCGTCAAAGTTCCTGTCTTCGCAAGACCTGTAAACATTCAAAGGATAAATAAATCACTGACTAACCTCTATAGTTGTACATTTTTGGTTGAATAAACAGACACAAATCTTCACGTATTCTATTTGCACAACACAGCATGAAACAACCTTTTGCGAGGGATTATGTTTCGTGATAAGTCGCGACGAGACTCATGCTTGATTTTATGTTTTCTGCAAAAACTAATTCCTGATCTAATAATGATAATTGTGAAATAGCTTCACAAAATATGCAATGATTCCTCCTAGCTTTAAGTGTTGTGACCGTCCTTATTCATGTACATTGATAAATGATTTAGTGTTACATTTAAAACAACTTTCCATTACCCTAAGAAGTGCATTGGTGTCATATTCATAAATTGATTTATTTAGCTATTAAGTGGGTTTCATAATTCACTGCAAACTCAGTTGCAATTCAATTTCAAACAGATTCAAATGGTCAAAAACATTGGCAATACTAAATGCTTTCATAGACATTAACATATTCAATAATATTAAGGTGATCACAATATGTTTTTCAATTAGTTTTTCAATTTAAATCACTCAAGAAATCTTTTTGTACATACACATAATATGTTTATATAGTAAATTCAAGTACCTTCGGCGCCACTTTCACAGGATGCTATCAATGCTCCGCTACATCCGGCATAGCCGGCTGTTTCGTCACTTCCGTCGTCACAATCGTTCCAGCAGTCACACTGGAAGTCCCTTTTAATACACTTCATTCCTCCCGACTCACAGGTAAACCAGCCGGTCGGGCACAGCTGCCAAAAACAAACACAATGTAAACTTTCACATACTGTTGCACTTGTTAGCAAATGTTTATGAGACAGTTTCCTTAGATTACGTTTAACTTGGTATATCTTTAATCACATTAAAACAAGATTTCTTGTTGTTATGGTTTTATCCAGTGAGATAGGGGTACTAGTGAAATGGTTTCCTGTTGAATAATATTCGTTCGTCATTTTTCTTCAGTTTTAACCTGCATTATGTTAACCTGCATTATGTTCTAATAAACGTACTAGCAAAAAAAAGATGTCAGCCGTATGAAATGGAGTAAAACCTACATGTAGTTATGCTGCCACCATTTGTCCAGAACATTTTCAGCTTTTTAAAGGGGTTGGGCGATAAATTGAGGGAAAAGTGTCATGCAATTCTAACGGAAAACAAGAGAAAGGGACAGTGAAATTGATTGGCGGTAAAGGAGGTGACATATATTCTTGATTTATCATATCTTATAGAAAACCTTCCAATATGATTATATCGATTAGGTGCTGCTTAAGAGGTGGAATAACATACAGCTAAGTGTTGTGGCGTTTTGTTTTTAATTAGCAAGTTATAAATATGATATCACACGCAATAGAATTGTTACTTGCGGGGAAGATTCGTACGGACATCTGTTAATCCATGACGTCGACTATGCATATTGAACATATTGTCTGAGTGATGAGGACTCGTATCAACCATTATAAACAAAATCAATCAAAGATGCGATATTCAACATATCCTGATGATAATTATTAAAAAAAAAATGCAAAACGATTACAATATTGGTTTTCAAGTCAAAGCAATAACCATAATTTTGACGTCACAATTTTGAAAACGTGAAATCCAACTACATTGTACATGTAAGTATGTTACGTTTGCATATGACGAAAAGTTTCAATGGTAATACCAACAATATTACCACTATTTTGCGGTCTGTGAAGGAATAAAATATCATGTTCTATTGAATGTTCATTATATCTATATGACACTTACCTGTTGGTAGACACCAGCCATCGCAGCTGGACATGATATTGGGTTACAATCGCCTAACACAGCAGAGTCACCAGAACAGGCAAGACCACCGTTTGCAGGCATCGGATCGTCACAAACCCTCGTGCGTGCCTGTTTACCGCCTCCACAGGTTACGGTACACTGACTCCAGCTGTTCCATTGTCCCCATGCTCCATCGACTGTTAATGCAAAGATATCAGGAATGAAAATTAGTAGTGATTCCATGCGTTTGTAGCGAATAACGATATATTAATGAAAAAAGAACTGTAAACTTTACAAGCATCCCTGTTCAGAATATATATCATAAGCACCATGTATCGATGAAGCAAAAATATATTGTCAGCAACAACTAATGTTTCCGAAAATACATAAAACGTATCGACCGCACCTATCGATATATTATAAGCCCGTATATTATATCATCAACAACTCTAACCGATACATAATATATATCATCCTCCTCAACACTTAACGATACAGAAAACATATCGTCGACCCCACCTATCGATACATAATATGTGAAACAGCTCTAACCGATAAATAGTATATATCCTCCTCCTCAACACTAACCGATCCATAATATAGATAAGCTACAACACTTATTAATACATAAAACATATCGACCCCACCTATCGATACATAATATCATCAACAGCTCTAACCGATACATAGTATATAATAATAATAATAATATAATAATATACAACATTTATATAGCGCCCTATATAATTTGTAAAATTACTCTAAGGCGCTTTACAACATATGGATAATAGTAATAGTTATAATTGTGAAAACAAACAACAAAGGCTTGCAATCACTTTCATTCATTTAACAAGCAATGTGCACATAGTTGAACAAATAAAAGGGTGGTATTTACATGACGTCTTTGCAAAGATTCTAAATCGCAGACGTGAAGAGGTGAGTTTTTATGTCCCTCTTGAACTTGGCCAGGGTATTTGACTTCCTAATAGCAGATGGTAAGCTATTCCACCACGTAGCCGAAACCCTCCCAAAGCATCTGTTTCCGTAGGTCACAGTACGAGATTTTGGGTCACACAACAAAGATTCTGACTCTGACCGCATATATTATCATCCTCAACATTTAGCAATACATCATCTATAAGACCTACTAAAACGATATAAATTACTGACCACACCTATTGATACAAAAACATTGTTTAAAAAAATACAATACTTACTGATACAAACTTGTGTGTTGCAGTCCATTGTATCCGAGCCTGTACTCGGACAGTTAGCCCCGCCATACTGTGGGGAGGGGTTGGTACACGTGCGTGTCCTGGTGGAGGTTCCACCACCACAGGTAACGGTACACGTGCCCCAGCTTGCCCAAGAAGTCCACTCGCCGTCAACTAAGAATAAGTAGTTGTAATCGTTTTAATGTAAGAAATTATAATTTATTTTTCAGGAAGAGTTACCATTATTTGTAACGTGCTTATTGAAGCACGCATTAAATAATTCACAGAGGCAATATAGTAGAAACGAAAACAAAGTTGAAGTCTAGAAATCTGCAGGAACCGAGTGATATCAACGTAGTTAATATTTGAAAGATATCGAAATTTCCAATAGAAATGCAACAGCTTATATACGGAATAAAACGCAAATAGAGCCTAGAGGAAATGTTGCAACGTTTTAAAGTCTTACAAATACGTATTTCAAACATACTTGGACAGGGAGAAAGTGTACATCCTTTTGTCTGGTCCACAGCTCCGGTACAGGCACTTCCACCAAACTGGGGTGTTGGGCTCGTACAGGTTCTGCTTCTCTCCTGTGTACCGGAAGCACACGTCACGGAACACGTCGTCCATGTTGTCCATGAAGTAAATCCACCATTAACTACAATTCAAAACAATATTAGAAAACAAAAGAGAGTTTTTTTTCTAATGTCAGGCAATTAAAAACGGCTAAAATGGTAAAAAACAATCAGCACACGTACATGTTTTTAAATAACTTCGTATGTTATTATAAAAAACGAAAAAAATCAATTCCACCGAGTTTACATTTGGTACTTTTACTTACTCGGGCAGTAGGTTGAGGTAGTGCAAGATGCAGAGTCAGAGGCCGATCCCGGACAATTGGCGCCATTGTACTGCGGGCTAGGGTTATTACAAGAACGGGTTCTGCTCTTTGTTCCGGTCTGTGTCGTTCCATAGTCCTTACAAGTAAGTGAGCAAGATGTGTAGCTACTCCAAGACCCCCACGCTCCGTCAACTAAAATGTTCATATCATTTAGTTATATTAGAAGTAAACGTGTTTTTTGAGCAAGAACCGTAACTACCCCAGCTGGACCATTCACCATCGACTACAAGGGAGCAGGAATTTACCGATGTACGTTATCATTAATATGACTTACAGTAAGGGTGTATTACTTTGTTTAGGTAGTAGGGTACTGGTTGTGTGTGCGTGCGTGTAACAGCATACAACTGTTATATGGTCGCGGAATTTGTCACAAAACAGAAATGTGTGTTGTTGTTACTGTATAATAGCAAACAAAAAATCCTGCACTGCATTGAAATAGTTGGATATTTGATAGGATAAAAATATACAAATTCATCAGTTTATATTGGAAATATTATTAATACAAAAAAATGGACATATGGACATATATATTTTTTCTAAAGATTAACATTTAAAGTATAAACAGGGAAACTAACTTGGACAGGCATTTGTGTTGCATGATTCGCTATCTAGGTTGGAGTTTGGACAGCTGTTTCCACCGTGGGCTGGGGCTGGGTTAGTACATGTGCGATATCGATTTTTCAAGCCTCCTCCGCAGGTGGTCGAACACGTGCCAAAGCTTCCCCAGCTTGACCATTGGCCGTGAACTAGAAACGTAAACACATCATAAAAACAATGAAGAAAATAGACCCACATCGGCTTTAACTCGCCAACAATTCAAAAAGATAACAGATAACATTGTATATTTTATATGCATGATGAGTGTCTGACCAAGTAAAGATATAACCACTCAGATAGCATAGTTTTAAGATAAATACTCTTAGTAATACGCATCCGACGGACATTTGTTTGTTCGTATCCAGTGTCCATATTGGATAAAACTGTCGTTATCACCTATGAGACCTTTATATATACATATAATTTTTAACGGGTCATATATCTTACTGATAAGGACAGCCTCCCAAAAACATATTTTCGATGTTTGCTTCATGCAATGGCGATCTTAAAACTGACTATCATCATTATCCAATAATATGTTCTGCAGAAATTATATTTTTACATTATCTATTAATTGTTTGTTCCAGTCAAGTGTTGAAAGATAGAAAAGCTATCATTTTAGGAATGTTTTAAAACATGAAGGTTATCATGAATTGTTACCCTCTATATTCTCAAATATATTTGATTTTTATTCTGTCTTTCCGTTCTGAATCGCTAACGACAATTTGTAGAAAGAATCTTATTTCTTGAAATAGGCAAAACAGTGTAAACATGTTTTAAAATGTGCTTTTTAAAGCAAAAACCAACCATTGAAAAATATCAAAATACTTCCTTTATATCTGAACCTCTTCCGCTATATTTTCTTTCAAAATCCCCTTTGTCTTATTTTGACATGACGCACAGGGGTATTTCAAAATGCTAGTGAAAAAATAATTGTCTGTAAGTTTGGTTTGTTAAATTACCTGCGCAACTTTGCGTGTTACATGATGTTTGGTCGCTTCCGCTTCCAGCACAGTCTGCCCCGCCATTAGCCCTTGCCGGGTTGGAACATGTCCTCGTTCTCGTCTTTGTTCCACCGCCACAGGTGTTTGTACAGGACGTCCATGAACCCCAACTAGCCCAATTACCATCAACTACATCACAAAATGCAAATCATGAAACATTTATCGGTAAACAGAAGGGAATGTTGCTAACTACCGAAACAAGATCAAAAATGATGTTGTCGGGGTATTTTCATGGAACACATTCGTGAGTTTAAAATACCTCATAACATCATGACTAATTGATTACATGTAGTTCCTGCTAACTTTTTAGTGTAAATCAATATATTCAAAGACTTGTTTTTTTTTTCTGGTTGCACTGAGATCAAAACGAACCCCAATGATACATAAGCTGTTTGCAAAGAAATTTAAATAAAATGTTCAAGACTTTAACTTTTGTAATTGTGACGCACAATGTAAATGAGTTATTCAGAGGAAGTTTAACGAAATGTTCATAAACAGTAACACAGCCGTTATATTACTTAAAGTGTATGAGCATTTCTTCCTTCTTTTGTTCTTCCATTGCTTTTGGAATGTACATTGTAGTAGATATATGCAGTTTTGATATAAAATCTAATGCCATAAGGTATAGAAATTAGAATATGTCATAATACTTTACTGCATCGTTTCATTGCATTCCTCACTTCTGATTTAACAAATCGTGAAATGGTAAAAAAGCAAAAATCATGAATTTCCAATATATATAAATTATTCATGTTTTATTTTCTATTCGTTTTTTATCTATTACCTGGACATGCGCTCTTCGTGCAAGACTTCGTTACAGAACTACTTCCGGAACAACTTTGTCCGCCATGTTGAGGTGTTGGGTTGTCACATGCGCGGGTCCTGGTCTGGCTACCGCTGGCACAAGTTACGGAACACGCACCCCAACTTCCCCAGCTGGAGTAGCCACCATCAACTAGTAACAATGATTAAATATTTATAATGATCAGTGATCAACCATAATAAAGTTTAGTTAGGGATTATCATAATATTAAAATGATTGATTTTCATATTCAATGTTCAATTTCGCCTTTCATTTCTTCATCCGTTCGTCATTATAATCCATAAAGCTATTTATGTGGTAATTATATATGGCCCTTGATTAATTCTTTAAAGAATTTATATCGCGATATTTACCATCGTATGGTATTGCCACTATCTAACCCTACCAAATTCAGTTGGCATTCATTAAGGTAATAAATGCCATGGGCCGATTGTTAACGTCATCATTATTATGACGTCATAATTGTTAAGTTGGATACCACTGACCCTCCCCGGGCGATGGCTGTTCTATTCATTGAACAAGCATGCACGATACATACAGTATTTGAACTAAATGATGAATAATAATAAGAGATATTTTATTAGATGAAAAGATTCAAAAAAAGGTCAATATATGTATTGAACTGCTTTAAGTTGGCATTTATATGCAATATGAATTCCAACTGGGCAAAGGCAACTCCAACATGCTTCATTGATTTTGCCTTTGACTAGTTGGCATTTATATTGGCTATGAATGCCAACTGAAAGCAGCTCAATACTTAAATGTAAATTTTCTAAAGGATAAGACTAATCGAGTCCAAAACAGAAAACGCTATATATTAAAAAAATAAATCTTTTTTGGATTTCTTGTAATGTAATTTTTTAAAGGATTTCTTGTGATAATATTATTCAGTAGGGTAATGTACTACATGCTGTGCTCATTACGGCACCTCATAGGTTCAGTAACTTCTAGCTCAACTTAAAGAAAATAATAATGAATAGTTTGATGGGATAGATTCATTAAAACACTACTCACTCTTTAAGCCAACTCCTCTGAGGTTTGGATTATCTGCCTAAATCAAATCATGTTTTGCACAATAGACATTTATCTTTTACATTATCATGACAAAGAGAATTATAAGCTTATTTAAGGAATGACCAATATTTTGTTTTGGTATATACGGTATATACCAAAACAAAATCTTGGGCATTATTTATAATTTAATTTTAAAAACTAGACAAACACGTTGTAAATGCACAGTTAAAGATTTATCTAATTTTTACGTAAACTAAACAATTGCGCTAAAAAAAAAGCTGCGTTGTAATTTTGCATTCTGAAGTGTAAAAAGTAGTTCCGTCATCAGTTGTTTTTCTTTTTAGGTATATACGATATATACTAAAAAAAATGTTATTGGGGAGATGGGCAAAATTAAATTATTTAAAAATCTATATCATCTGCACTGAAGCTTGATGAGCAAATAAGTCATATTCTCATTTAATAAGCTATCACACTTGACTGATAGTTTAGTGGACTAAACTCTGGCTATGAAGTAATACACTGTATGTCTTACCCGGACAATAGTTTGTGGGAGTGCATGATTTGGACTCTGTTCCAGTACCGTCACATTGCTTTCCATCATACTTTGGTTCCGGGTTGTTACACGACCTCGTTTTGGTAGTTGTTCCGCTTGTAGTGCCCCCTGTTGACGACTTGCAGGATACTGAACATGTGGCGTATGATCCCCACGATCCCCAGTTACCGTCAACTGAAGGGAGATATATGAGTGTATCTTAAGAAGAGTAACTAACTAGCCAAGCACTAAGGACCAAATTCCAAATGATAAAAGGTTATTTCATTATTGGAAGAACATTATTTTATCTAATGATTAACAGTATACATATGATAGTAACAGCGAACATATATCGAATTTTATTATCATTGTAAAAGTACTACTAAAATAGTTATTTGTGTAAATCGCAATATTTGGAATAAATTATTCTTCTATAATGCTATTAATAATCATTTTTTTACATCAATACTTACTCGGTGGAGGAGTCGCACAGTCTTCTTCCGACTGTCCATCGCCATCGTCATCTGCAGAAACAAGTGTTTTCATAAATATATAAGTTTAGAAAAAATATCTCACAAAAACAAAATACAAATAAAATAACTCATTTAAAATGCTGCGACAATATATGTCTAGGATGTGAACTTGTTTCCTACAGTACAAGGATGTATCCCATTTATATAAAGGTAGAATGTAAGTCACCGAAGACAGAACCTCATGACCACGTAAGTATTAAAATTTGAATGCCGCCCTGCATATATTTCTTAAACAATACAATGTTTGCATTCTTGGATGTGCTTACTTTATCTTCGTCACGTTCTCAATATCAGAAAAATATTAGAAGAGAATAAAGCAATTATGCGTTCGTCATTTTACTCTTCTATGAGTTGACAAAACACAAAAAGGTATGTGAAATGTAGCTAAGTGGCTATTTTCAAAAGAATGCGTATTTCAGAATAGTATGGTCAGAGGAAACTTCCTCAAACATTTCCTTTCGATCGTGTCTCTGCTGGGTAGTCTCATGCCCCTCTCGGTACATCTGATTCTGAACAGATTATGTTCCTCTGCCGTGGCTGATGTATAAAATTCGGCATTACTTGTGTTGTATAAATACCATTGTTTACTTATTTATTGAAATACGTGCCTTTACACTGAATCCCTGTAGTACATAACCCCTCATCTTACTGACTGTTACAATCAGTCATACATACCTTTACCATACTTCCCCGTGGTAGACAACCCCTCATCTTACTGACTGTTACAATCAGTCATTCATACCTTTACCCTGGTTCTCTATGGAAGACCCCCCCCCACCCCCCCACCCCCCCTTCCATCTTACAGACTGTTACAATCAGTCATACATACCTTAACCATGCTTCCCCGTGGCAGACAACTCCTCATCTTACAGACTGTTACAATCAGTCATACATACCTTCACCATGGTTCCCCGTGGTAGACACCTCCTCATCTTACTGACTGTTACAATCAGTTATACATACCTTAACCATGCTTCCCCGTGGTAGACAACTCCTCATCTTACTGACTGTTACAATCAGTCATACCCTCTCGGTACATCTGATTCTGAACAGATTATGTTCCTCTGCCGTGGCTGATGTATAAAATTCGGCATTACTTATGTTGTATAAATACATTGTTTACTTATTTATTGAAATACGTGCCTTTACACTGAATCCCTGTACTACATAACCCCTCATCTTACTGACTGTTACAATCAGTTATACATACATTTACCATGCTTCCCCGTGGTAGACAACCCCTCATCTTACTGACTGTAACAATCAGTCATACATACCTTAACCATGCTTCCCCGTGGTAGACAACTCCTCATCTTACAGACTGTAACAATCAGTCATACAGACCTTTACCATGCTTCCCCGTGGTAGACAACCCCTCATCTTACTGACTGTTACAATCAGTCATTCATACCTTTACCCTGGTTCTCTATGGAAGACCCCCCCCCACCCCCCCACCCCCCCTTCCATCTTACAGACTGTTACAATCAGTCATACATACCTTCACCATGGTTCACCGTGGTAGACACCTCCTCATCTTACTGACTGTTACAATCAGTTATACATACATTTACCATGCTTCCCCGTGGTAGACATCCCCTCATCTTACTGACTGTAACAATCAGTCATACATACCTTAACCATGCTTCCCCGTGGTAGACAACTCCTCATCTTACAGACTGTAACAATCAGTCATACAGACCTTTACCATGCTTCCCCGTGGTAGACAACTCCTCATCTTACTGACTGTTACGATCAGTCATACATACCTTTACCATGCTTCCCTGTGGTAGAAAACTCCTCATCATGCAGACTGTTACAATCATTCATACATACCTTCACCATGGTTCCCCGTGGTAGACACCTCCTCATCTTACTGACTGTTACAATCAGTCATACATACCTTTACCATGCTTCCCTGTGGTAGACAACTCCTCATCTTACAGACTGTTACAATCAGTCATACATACCTTAACCATGCTTCCCCGTGGTAGACACCTCCTCATCTTACTGACTGTTACAATCAGTTATACATACCTTAACCATGCTTCCCCGTGGTAGACAACCCCTCATCTTACTGACTGTTACAATCAGTTATTTATACCTTTACCATGCTTCTCCGTGGTAGACAACTCCTCATCTTACAGACTGTTACAATCAGTTATACATACCTCTACCCTGATTTTCTGTAGTACACAACTCCTCGTCGATCAGGCCATCACAGTCATTGTCCACACCGTCACCAACCACAGTAGCTGTCGGCACACAAATCTTTCGGAAAACGTAAGAAATATTTCTTAAACAAGACACACTTTTTTATTCTTATCGATAGCTTTAAATGAGAAAATGTCATGTTAAAATAAACAGATGTTTATTCAAAATTGCAATTGGCTGTTTATATACAAATATAGACATTATTGTTATCTGCAAAGAACATTATAGTCTATAACAACTGATAAACGGCTTAATGTGTATATACGACTGCAACAAACGGCGTTCGTTATTGACACAAAACATTCAGTTAAGCCTGAATTATGCTAATTGCTTTTTTAATTTAATTTTTTACACCAGAACAAGTTAGTCCCGGGAAAAATACAGTGTGTCCATTTAAATAAGTTTATATTGATCACCGACTGGGACGACACGACGTCACTATGTCATAAGACATGGTACATTATCTGTCATTTATATGTCCTGTGAAAAAAACACCGAAACAGTGGCTCTCCATCAATAACCGTATTTAATGGAATCAGTGTTTCTGGTTAAGTAGAATTTTTATCACACTGGTATTACATACCAATAACCAGCATAATGCTCTTTCGAACTTATCACCGCTTCGGCATTCCTCATGGATATGTTCACATTAGTACAGGAACAAAATGACAGAGATTTGTTTTATTAACTAATTTGAAACTGTTGGTTTGATACTTACAGTATTGATGCCAGCCATACGCATTCCTGTAGTAAAGCCGTACGTCTCGTATCTGGCTTGACCGTACAGGTACCCACCGAAGACGGAGATGGGAGATGTGTGACGTACAGAGTGGGACCCCTCGGACACGCTGATGTAACCACCTACATAGTCTGTACCGCTGATTCTGTTATATACAGTATTGGATGGAAAGGCATTGCCATCGACTCGGAGTCCAGACTTATCAGATTCCTTGATGATAAACATGAAGTAGTTGCTATAAGATCCAAGAGAGTACTTTGGTGTGGCAAATGTATAATCGGCTCCAAACTGTTCCACTGGTGGAATGATCATCATCATAGGATCAGATTCTTCATTTGAAGACTGCTGGCTGAGACAGAACTGTACTACAAGGATTGGTTTGTCCGACACAACAAGACAATGTGCATTGGAAGAGATTGACTTCTGTACCATGTTCCCTTCTTTTGTAAGGGTGAATGAGGTGGAATATCCGCCACTTATTGTAACCCTGGTGTTACTTTCGCTAGCAATAAACTTAAAGTAGTCTCCGACTGATCTCTTTGGAACAGGAACAGTAACAAATCGCTTACCCCATGTATCAACATTTGTCAGATGTTCAACTAAATGATCAGAACTGCCTCCGCTGCCAATATTTGTTTTCATATTTCCACTAAAGGCGGATACCGGCTTAGATGATTCAATGTATGTTCCTGTGAGGTCTCCGTAAGTGACAAGTTGGAATGTATCAAATCTGTTCATAGTGACAGTGAGCGTGTTTCCTTTATAGTAGTTTTGTCCTCCCCAAGTGATGTACCGACTACCAATGGCCTCCCCTACTTTGATATTGACGGTAGTACTATCGTTCACACCAACAATTAAAAGCTCGCACTGTCTGGACGGCGGATAGTACGTCACGGCGTAGTACTCGGTTCCCATAACATCTGTCGGTAGTCCAAGGAAGGCATCGCATGAGTATGTCTCCTTGTTTACACCGTAGATAACCACTTCATCGTCAGCAGTTACCAGGACAGCCTTAGAACTCATCTCGTTGCTATACAGACGGATGCTAGGGTCAAAGAACAGTTGTTTAACAGTTCCTGCTGTTACAGTGAAGGCCTCGTTGATACCTGCGGCGCTGTATCTAGGAGCGGTTACTTTTACATTTACTGTTGTTGTTCTCATTGTCGTGACAAAAAGCTCGACATCGTAGCTCGCAGCAATATTCTGCATAAAGCCGATGATGAACTCTGTACCTCGATTATCCGGAGCCCCTAGTGTGACAGAAGAGAAGTAATTCATATTCAGAAAATAAATTTAAATCTACCGGTGGAGTTATATCTGCTTCCAATCTGATTTCTGCTGTCATTGGCTGTCTAGTTCTATTTGATGACTAATTGTTTATCAAGCGCGCGCCTCATTTCTTCAACGAGCACATTAAAAGGTGTGGTATACTCACTTATTACTTAAAAAGAATATATCTTGTTTGATTTAGTTAGAAGATTTATCGACTAATATGTGAAATTATGTATTATTAGAGTCCATCCCTGATGTGAGGTATGGATAAGGTGATTCAAACCCAAGGGATACAATATTGCTCAATTTTTGATCCCGAGAGTTTAAATTACCTTATCCATACCTAACATCAGGAATTGATTCTATTTTCTGCTTTTACCTAAAACCCGTGAAAAACAGCTGCTCTTCTAGTGAAGTTGTAAACTGTCCGCACATTTCTCATTTTCATATTAATCCTGGATGGCAATTTGCTTATGACGTCTTCGACCCTGATTGTCCCCAAGACTCATAAAATGACGTCACGAACAATAGCATGACCCCGAAAGGTCACTAAAGTTCCCCCGTCAATCTAAGCGTGTAGGCGATCCAGACCCGTTGGTCGGATAGAATTTTCCAGCACTGCCAGAAATGTGGATATCTCGGTCTAGTATGCAAGAAAACCTAACCGATATATAATTATTTTTGTAATTTCGTAAACGCAATTTAATGACCGATTTTGTGATTCTGTCACAAAGGGAGCAGAATATATTGAATTGAAGTTTAAGTGATTTGTAGCGAATACTAAAGGGTTATAGTTGAGCGTGTTTCATCAAAAACCGACTATCACATTTGTAACCACAGAAACTATCGATAAAAGGTTGGAACGTGATGTTAGACTTACCTTCGATACCGGGGGCCTTTAAACAGGCCAGGGCCAACAGCACTACAGCCACACTTTCTGTAACCAATCAAATTCTAGTGAATAGTGATTCATACTATTTCAATGGATATTAAAACTTCATAAAAAGATCAATATAATTACAAACATAAATCAAATCGAACTTAAAATAAGTAGCTTCCTCCAGTATACACTTTAGGTAGGTCTAAAATTTTGTATTTCGTAAATATCGCAGCCAAACCTTAACGGTAAGGCTGATGTCAATTAACTGATTGTTTTTGTTTTTCGTTTTCGTGTTTTCTATAAATTCTAATTGCATTTTTATCAAATGATTGCAGAGATAATATATTCTTTTTAGAGTATCACTACCAAATGTGTTTAATCAAATCCTGTATGAGGTAAACGAATGTGAACTTTGTCTTTCGGTTGTTTTTTTTAAATATTTATTCTTTTTTGTCGCTTATGATCAGTAATTGAATAATTTAAGGTGAACTTTAGATCCACACATGTAATTGCATCTATTAGATTTATTAGTAAATACATTATGCCAAAACTGAATCAATTTCTTTGCACCATACCCATGTTTCGTCCTTATATAGTAGTATAAAAAATGAAGATTCTCACCGTTATCTCTTTGTTAACGGGAGAACCGGATGTTGAGTTGTTTATTTTCCTTGTCTAGTGACGACCGGTTTTAAAAAAAATGCATTTTTATTTTTGATCCTATTTGCAGAAAATAGGCATATCAGACATACTGTTTTAACTTGAAGATAATTAAACCGTTGCTATACATGTATGTTAAAAGCAATGCAATTTGGTAACGAGGTATGACTAATAACTCTGGGTCTATGTGTTATGTTCCATATATGTATAGATTACCAATATCAGGAACATCAATGATGTGAGATATCACTCTCAACTTCTAAGCAACAATCAATGTTTGTTTCAAGTATGATTCAATAACACAATAGTACATACAACGCATTCAAACATTCTAACTTGTCATTTGGTTTGCTTTGTTCTTAAAACAAGCAAAACACTGGGAGTTTCAGGATGCATGTTATTTTTCAATTTTGAATACAATTATCAATTCATTCAACGTATATTTGGCTTCTCTTTTTTTAACGTTTCCGGAATGTTGTCCTATTACTAGACGGCCTGTTTGGTATCAAGAAATTCTACGAAAATCTTCATCTGCGTAATTTCCTTATATATATGCATTTTCAAAAAATGATATGATGTTAACTGTTGTACCTTAGAGGAGAATTATGTAAGGTTGAAATGATTGTATTACTTGAAAGAATAATCTGTTAATTTTCAATTAAATTTTAAGGTGTTTTTTCTCGGAAATCCCGCGACTGATGTAGCATACAAAAGATTCATTTATGCTATACAGTAAATTCGGAGGGCACTAAGACGCGGAATTCAATAACGTTGTATTCGAACGGCGGGTAATTTCAATATAAACAAGTTAAATGTATGAGGATAGTTTGAGGAATTTATTATGAAAATGCCATTGACATTCGGACAAATAAACATACAAAAACAATTTGAGTACAAACTAGTTGAACAATGGAAAAATCATCCGCAAAAAATATGTTTTAAAGAAACAAAATTGAGTTTTAACGTTAATATTTCAACTTAATTCATGTATCTTTATATTACGAACTGACCATTTTAGACCTGTTAATCCTACACATATCTTGCGCACATTGTCGGAATAAATGTGCGTATAGTACTGGTTCTATCATTCTAGAAATAAATATTGCACATAAAATGATTTTCCGTCAATAAATACATTAAAAGTATTTTTCTTTATATAGGAAAAAGACTGCAAAAACAATATCGTTTCCAGAATACATGTATTATAAATACATTTTCTATACTTGTTCATTCATAAGAGCATAAATGAAAATGAAACATTAAATATGAAAAAACATTGATAATAAGTATTATACGAACTCATGATGGCAGCAGGTTAATGGTCCTATGGCTCGGTCAGAATGTCGCTGCTATGGTGTTATTAGGTCCTTATAATAGAGGTTTAGATACCAAGTTGGCACTCCTCTAGACCCATACAAAGTAGATTAAGGTAAGCGGATGCACATAATTACAGCGATTATGTGTTTGTAGTTCTAGGTCATGCATATATAAAGATCACAATCAATACGTCGGAAGTAAAAACGAGATTTGCTAAATATTGTAAATAATAATATTTTGATGAAAGCTTTTCCTCGTTAAGTATATTATTAAAAAGGAACAAGCTATTTTGCTTCATAGTAAAGTAAATGTACAGAACAGTAAGGCTATGATTTAAAAGGAAACTTTTCTTTCGTTCGTGTAAAATGATGATAAGTAATATTTTTAATTTGTCAGATATTTCAATTGATTAATTTGTTCGTTTAGATTAGGTCGAGTTATTAACTCCGCGGTCTTTACCACAGGCCGCTGGGACCCAGATGGGATTTACGTAATACACACACAGGTGATTGCAGTTGAAGTCATTTTTAATAGATAGAGTGTGACTTACACTGCACAATACAGCTGTTTCATTCTTAAGGACTCATTGTTGATGGCAGAGTATAAAAAGGTAGAATACCAAATCGAAGTTAACCTACTGCTGACACAGGTTGGGAGATCGGTAAATCCCTTTAATCTTATCATTTTTAACAATTAAAGAAGAACTGGTTAACTTCAAGTTAAAAGTGAGTACAGTCAGTATTTAATGTTTATTGCGTTTTTATTTAAAAAAAAATGTTTTGGAAGTAACCCAGCTGGAATACAGAGGTGACACTAAGGGACACATTTCGATAGACGTACGGACTAACAGACGGACGGACTAACAGACGTACGAACTAACAGACTCTCCTATCAAACACACATACACACAATCATAGGGAGTATCAGGTCAAGATACCTATTTCAGAAGACGAACACATGTGGCACTTCTTCAAAATAGCCGATACCAAAGACAACATTTTATGATGTCGTCATGATCTTATTTGGGTATGAAGGTTGTCAGTGATGGTTGTTGTCACGGCTCCGGTTATCTCCCTTTAAGGACGTTACATGTTTTACGTTCAGCATTTTGGGTATTCGCAACATCTTGTTTTCTCATTGTCTGTATAATGTGACCGGGTGGAATGCTATGTTGGTTGCCTTCGTGATGGCATTTTAGTGAGGTAACACTATAAAGCTAGCATCAGATACGCCCTATCACATACCCCCTTTAGCACACATACACACATGAACTTACGTGACATACAGATGCACGTCCTTGAATTACCTTAGCTGATATTAGAACGTTAAACAAAATAAACCAAACCATACCAAACATGGCGACGAAGCAGAAGACGTTCCTGGTCTTATTCTGCTTCAACTAAGGTACCATGTTAATCTTTCCTGAGATGATATGTTAAAATTAAACCTAGTTTAATCGGGTTTGGGTTCGAATTAATCATAAACGTACGACAAATATTAACATGTAATTAAGGTATCGGTCAGATAACGCTAGTATGTCAGCCAATAATCATGCAAAATATATATTACTTAAGGAATGAATTTTGCTTTGGTCGATTTCTTAGGGTGATGAATTGAGTTAGTCTTGAAATAAATTCAACATGTCTACGTATTGACGTAATAAAAAAATATAGTCCGTCAGTTTTGTTTCAAGACCAACTCAATTCATCACCCCAAAACAGTTCATCTTGAATTTGTTTCATGACCAACTCAATTCATCACCCCATTAAATCGCCCGAAGCAAGATTGAATCCTTAAATGAATGCTATAAAACTCAAATAGCTCTACCCGTAGCTTAAGAAGATTACTTATGACATTAACAATGTTCGTGAGCAAATATATATTTATTACTAGTCGTTCTAAGGCTTACATCATGTCTTTGTTTTATCGGTTATGAATATGAATTACACAGAACAATTACTTAAGAACAAAATAGGAACAAAACACCATGGGCAAAACATGGAAGAAACCTGATGTTTCAGGAGAAATTTGAAAGTTTAAGATATTAAACGAGTTAAACCAATAATATATTACAGAATTGAACAAAAATACACCCAAGTATATGACAAACAATTGTGTATATAATCTCAACTATTTATAACTTTCTTGTGTATAGAAGGACATCGAGGGTCAGTATTACTCGGTCGACGGTAACCTACAGTTTAATTTCATAACTTAGTTGTAAGACTAATCCCATACTGATCGACCGTTAATTTATTTTAATCGGATCAGGTCACCTTCTCTGTACTTAATCACATATAGCTAAGCTAAGGTCATAGACATTATTAAATAAACCGACAAATATTGAAAATTATTTATAAAATATGTAACAAACACTTTGATGCTGATTCAAACATATGACATATCCACAAATTATTAAAAGAAAATCAATTCTTATATACGCATATTTTGTCTAAGTGCACACCTTTTATAAGACTTTGACCATATGTTGCATAATAAAATGATCTGTTTTATATCTGTATATGCTTTACCTTATACATAAATAAATTATAACAAACGGAACCCATAAAAACATTTTGTTCTTTAATGATCACAAAACGTGAAATAATGCACGATGTTGAAAACGAACAAAATGAACAAAAAATAACAAGTAGGTATCCAGGTAACATTTTTTAAATATGGTAAATGATAACAAAACATTGGAAAAGTATATTCACTTGAAAACAAATCACATCACATATCTACTCATTAAATACATGTATCTATTTGTAGGTTACCATTGCATGGCACAGTTGGCAGTGTCTGATTCAGGTATGAAAAGGTATTTGGTTATTTGCCCAGCCACCTGTTTGTTCTCCGGGCAATACGGATTTCCTATCTCATTAAAACACCGCTGCGTTCTATCATATATATGCTTTTAGTTAATATTAGTTGGTAAAACTTGTTTCATAATTGTTCTTGTAAGATATAGTTTAGTTATAAAAGCTGCTTCGTTTATCCATATTATGTCTGGATACACTGCACTGGGTATTCAGTGTCTTAGAGTGACGTTGATATTAGAAAAAAAATGTGATCGTATGCTCCATAATATTCAGGGTTCGGGATTAGAAATGTCAATCGATAAGAAACATGCACATCACGTTAACATTTTTCAGCAAATTTGAACATGGCGTCATTTCTTACTTTGGTTTCGTGCTCAAATATCTTTAAGTCTGATAGTTACTTGTATCAATCGGTATTCTAATACATTTGATTGAGAAATGTATAAATGTGAATCAGAAAAGAGTTAAATTAGTTGTTTTTATCATACAAAACAATGCACTAGTCCAACATTACACCCAGAAACTTTAAGAGTAGCCTAATTCAAGACGTGTATACATGTACATAATTTAGTTCAACGATTAAAGTATGGCCATTCTGGGGTCAATCTGTGGTACAATTTCGTCATCAGGGTGCAACATGTGGCATAGCCAACTAAGGTTCAAGGAACCCAGTTTATTATACATTGCAGGTCAAATTCGGAATCCTTATTTAAATTCAATTGTATATGAAAAATTAATATGAGAAATCTCTTTAATGATATATTTCTAGTATTATTTAGGCCTCATGATGGTTTCAGTTTACTTATATACTTTCCAATTGTTGTGACATCGTGTCGACATTGACCGAGTTCCAACTTAAATCTTGTCTTTTAAGACTGTGTTATATATGTCTTATGTTTACACTAGCTAAGTAACGTTTATGAATACATTTAGGAACAAAGAAGTCAGTTAAGTTATTTATAAATTGAAATTTACATTTTGTCATTTTTCGTGTATGTAATACTTTCAATATGTGCAACTAAACAAAAGTATGCACATGCAGTTCATAAAACACTCAAACACTGAAAAAAATAAAAAGGAATCGTTGAACAATAACGTGGGGACTAATAGTATTAATTATTATAAAGGCGATGTCTATCTGTGTTTTACCATTATTGCATGACATGCATTTTTTGTTTATTATTTATATACGATGAAATAATAAAAAAAAGTTGATAGAGACTGTTTGGAGAACGCTAGTGTTCTAACAAATTTTCCCAGAAGAATGACATACACAAACAACAATAAAAATCAAAGGTTTGATTTTATAATGTTACGTACAATATTGGCTGACGTTCCGAAAAGTGATGTCATTTTAATGAGATATATGACGTCATTCAATTAACGTTTAGTATGTGAACAGTCGGCAACTGATTTAACCTTGATCAATTAAAACAATACGAAATGTTTTTACTGTTTTTTTCGAACAACCCCTTTTTGTAGTACATACCGGTTTGCCATACTTTTTCTTACTCTCTCCAAACATATGCTTTGGTTTACTTGTATGTTTTATAGAACAACTATGTCTTTGGTTGCATTTGCAGTGTTATTATCGATATTTACCGATCTCCCTTGTAAGAAGTTAGAAAAAAAGTGACCATTACCATGTAGATATGGGCATTTGGAACCTTTCTCGTGTGTAGCATTTGGGCTTAAAACCTTGGCTCAAAATCTACACCTTCAGAGAATTACATAATCCCTCTGCCTACATATGATAGGCTTTATTAAGTAACTGATTGAGGGGTCGGCTATTTTTAGTAGATATCATATTTCTGATAGTATGCTCAATTTTAAGACTAAAAAAAAAATCCTCTGGACACCTAAGTTTTAATATTCCTTCGTCAATCTATATCTTAAACATGATGTTGAATATCTAAACTACTAGTTTAATCTGTATCTGTCTTCCTTTGATAAATTATTTATGCATCAGGGTTTTGCCCTTGCTCAAATCAAAGTGTTGGATTCTCGATCTTGCGTATCAGGAATACCAGACAACGTATATTTTGCGGTACTCTGTCAAAAAATACCGGATATTTATGTTGTATACAGTGCGATTTTTGTTGGAGATGCAAGCGCTTTGTATCAATATTGCCTTGAGACACATTCAGAAGTTTCCGCTAAACCTAATTAATGTCGGATATATAAATACATTTGATCAATAAATGCTGAAACTAATATGACGTTAGGAAAGTTGTATAGTTTCAAGAACTATCGTTGGCGTTGACAGGTTGACTTGGAAGGGGTATTTAGTAATTGGTGCTCACATATCAGTGGTTTGAAGGGTGACTGTTTTGACAACACCTTTTTACGGGATTCGTGACAGTGAGTAACATATTGGTGTTGAATATGAGTTTCCATTGACGATGATGAGCTAATGGGTTGTTTTTAAAGTAAAATTGGTTGTTTGTGGAATTTCAATTAATTTTTTCGCAATTTAAACTGGGTTGCGGCAGTTAGTTCTTAACACTTGGAACTTAATTGAATAACAGTGTATATATCTTTTTTTGATTAATGTATTTAGTACGAAATTTTAAAGATGCGTACTGTATCGAAAATCGTTCACAACAGTTAACTATTTCTACTTTGTTAAAACATTTCTGTTTATGATATATTTTTAAAAATAGGTACTTGAAGAACACATGTTTGTTCAGACCAGTTGCCAAAGTTCAAACTACACTCTAAAGGTATAAGGGGTCCAGCAAGAACATTTGCGGGCTTTTCTGAATATCTGAAATTCACAATTGAGAATAGAAAACAACTGAACACTTTTAATCTGCTAAAATGTATATCTGTTGTTTAAATTTATCGCTGATTATGCAAAATTTAATGAAGCTTGTCATTGCATGTCATCTTAAGTACAGCGTTCATAGTCCATGCCTGAATCGAAATTATTTTTGACAAAAAATAAGCCTCACAATTGAAACAAAAGCGTACTGAAAATAAGTTATTGCGGTTCATAGAAATATCAATTTGAAGTTCAACATTTAAATATTATCTCATGCCGTCATCGACAAAACTCGGTACAACTAGACTAATTGTGATCATTAATCTAAGTAATGCTTTTATATAAGGGTTTAATGCGCATGTTCAAATAACGAAGGATTAAGATGAAGTTTTATTAAAGAGATTAAATCATAATATAATCTGATATAATATATATAAATACTAACGACACAGAAACTATGTCGCTAGTATTTATATATATTATATCAGATTATATTATGATTTAATCTCTTTAATAAAACTTCATCTTAATCCTTCGTTATTTGAACATGCGCATTAAACCCTTATATAAAAGCATTACTTAGATTAATGATCACAATTAGTATAGGTTAGTCTAGACATGGGGCGGACAGTATTCGGTAACGTATAGTTTTATTTTGTAACATTTAGTTATATAGTAATTGAATTTTTAAAACAAAGATAATAACGAGATATAAAATTATAGGTGATGATGAAAATAACAATATATGTTATGTGAGATATTTGATAAAATATGTTCGTTTTTTAAGTTATAGCAAAACTAAAAACTTACTTAAGATGGCTTTAAACAAAAATGTTCTCAACAGAAAAATCACTAATTTAAATTGAATGATATGCATATTTGATTTTGTATTTATAATACTTTGTTCATTTGCAAACAACTTCATCCAAAAGATTGTAAAACATTCGTTATTAAAAACATTCTACATTTATTTATAAATCAGTTTGTAACAACAATAAATCAAACATCTTTATCAAACCAAGGTTATCATATTGGGAAAGAATTCAAATAGTTACCATACACCATGTGTGGTTAACGAAAATATTTTGCAATCTGCATTTATATTTTCGGAATAACATTCATCAGTTTGGTATGAATAATAAAGACTAAGTTTGTTTTGAACACAAACAAGAATAAAAAAACTTATTTTGTGAGCTTTCGAATTCGTCCATTAGTTATAATATTTATAGTTGTCTTTTCATTATCAAGTGAACTTTTTAAAATATTATTTAATCTATATACGTCTTTGTCATGTATAAGGTTTCCTATATCATCAATATTATTTTAGGTGTTTTGGAACAGTTAAGATATAGACAATACCTTATACAACTCCATTGATATGTCTTAAATAGAAATCAATTATTATATGAAGCAGTATATCATAACTTTGTTTGGTTTTTCGTCCCGAAAAAACTGGGTTTGAAAAAAAAGTGTTTCCGTTTAGAAGGATCTTACACCAGATGTTGATATTAAACAATACAATTTATCGCACATTCAATTAAATAATTTTGAACCTTTTTACACAGATGTTTTGACGCTGGTTTATCTTGTGTGCCAGTTTGGTGGCACCCTGGGTAAGTAAAATATATAAGGTATTGCATAATAAATATGGTAGATATGTTATAACTATCTAATGTATGTAAATAATATCAATAATTTACTGTGATAGGTACTTTCTAATTCATTAAGAAAAAGAATGAAAAGAGAACATACATGCTCAAACACTTATAAAACGTCAATATTATTTGACAGATTTTACAAATAGTTCTTCTGAACTATGTCTGTAACATGTTATCTATTAGGAAAAATAACATGGAGCGCTACTTTTAAAGTTATACTTAAAAATTGAAACTAAAGCAGTTGATTTTATGATTTAAGTATTCTGAATTTCTTTATTTATTATAAATGAAACAAACCAATGTACAAATATCTAAAACCATGATGTATTGAATTCCTCTCGCAACCTATTACAAAGAATGTGGCCACTTAACTTTACCAATACCATTTAAAGGTGCGCCCGACAATCGTGGTACAGAGTTTATCATCGGATATATGCAGAACATTGCTCAGAGCATGAATGTTGAGCTCTTCGTAACAACGATGCGCACGACAACAGTAAATGTTCAGGTGACTGCTCCAAGATACAGTTCGGCGGGAATTAACGAGGCCTTCACTGTAACAGCAGGAACTGTTAAACAACTGTTCTTTAACCCCAGTATCCGTCTGTACGGCAACGAGATGAGTTCTAAAGCCGTCTTTGTCACTGCTGATGATGAGGTAGTTATATATGGTGTAAACAAGGAAACATATTCGTGTGACGCATTCCTGGGCCTACCGACTGACGTACTTGGAACTGAATACTATGCGGTCACATATTACCCTCCGTCCAGACAATGCGAACTTTTAATTGTTGGTGTGAACGACAGCACAACTGTAAATATAAAAGTCGGAGATGCCATTGGTAGTCGTTACATCACTTGGGGAGGAACAAATTATTACCAAGGGAACACTCTAACCGTCACAATGAACAGATTTGACACATTTCAGTTAGTCACCTACGGCGATCTATCTGGAACATATATCACTTCTAGTAAAGCGGTGTCAGTCTTCAGTGGAAACATGAAAACAAATATTGGCAGCGGAGGAAGTTCTGACCATTTAGTCGAACATCTTACAAATGTTGATACGTGGGGAAAGCGTTTTGTTACCGTTCCCGTCCCACGAAGAACTGTTGGTGATTATTTCAAGTTCATAGCTAGCGAGAGCAGTACCCAAGTTACAATTAGTGGTGGGTATTCCACCTCATTTTCTTTAAGTAATGCAGGAACTGTGGTTCAGAAGACAATCTCTTCCAATGCACATTGTCTTGTTGTGTCGGACAAACCAATCCTTGTAGTACAGTTCTGTCTCAGCCAGCAGTCTTCAAATGAAGCATCTGATCCTATGATGATGATTATTCCCCCAGTGGAACAGTACGGAGCCGATTATACATTTACAACACCAAAGTACTCTCTAGGTTCCTATAGCAACTACTTCATGTTTATCATAAAGGAATCTGATAAGTCAGGGCTTCGACTCGATGGCAATGCCTTTCCATCCAATACTGTATATAACACGATTAGCGGTACCGACTATGTAGGGGGTTACATCAGCGTGTCCGAGGGGTCCCACACTGTACGTCACACGTCTCCCATCTCCATCTTCGGTGGGTACCTGTACGGTCAGGCTAACTACGAGACGTACGGTTTTACTACAGGAATGCGTATGGCTGGCATTAACACGGTGAGACTTCTGGTTTGATTTTTTCGAGTTACGTCATCAGCAGAGGTAGATGGAGGTTAAATAAAGACGAGTGGGACATCATTGAATGAAAATATAGATGTCCAGGTTGTGGTAGTGCGGCAGTAGTACATTGTAATTGTATTCATGTCCCAAATTCGCAGAATAAAACCCCCTGTTTTACAGCGAGCTTAACATAACTATCTGTACAAATGCATGTATATGAAAAGGTGGAATCTATTACCAAACCTGCAGTTTATTTCAAGTGCGAAATGTCTGATTATTATAAGTTCTTTATATATAATTAGGTTGCTCATTTCCTGTCTTCTTCATACAACTTCCATATGCAAGGAACTTCAAAACATATTTGAATATTTTATTCAAAACCAAATATGTGCGTCTAAATCTATCAACAAAACACGTATTCAAATTGAGATCAGTATAAAACAGTAACTAGCTCGTTAATATAGATTCAGCTAATTTCAACTGGGAATATATCAAAGGTATGTTAAGCACTATTGTAATTTTGTTTTAAAAAAGTTTTATTTCACACAAATTAATAGTGATGATAACGACGTCAATTGTATCATACATTTGTTTGTTATGAGTTAAACCTCACAGCGAAACAACAGCCAATATTTGACCCGATTGATATCACAAACGCTCACTTGAAACAATTCATGTCGTCTCTTTACGACTATTAATCATTATCATAGTCAAACCAACTGCTGTCAATCATAAACAATTAAAAGTTTAAAATATATACAATCATTTAAACGCAACAAAACTGTAAGACCACATGTGCATAAATGTTTTCTCTTGTATAGATTTGTGTGCCGAGCACTACCGTGGTTGGAGATGGTATTGACAATGACTGTGACGGTCTGATTGATGAAGAGTTGTGTAATGCAGAGAATCTGGGAAACGGTATGATTTACCAATAGTTATATAATGTTTGATGAGTTTTGTAGTGGGGATGTGCATTACTGACTATAATAAAGTATTTAGTCCTACAGAAAACTGGGTAATGTTATCGTTAGCTGATACAGTACTGAGAGTGAAGGTGCATGTATATATAACTGACTCTGATAGCCGATTGGTAAGGAAGTAGACACTACTGAGAATGAGAGTAAAAGTATATATTATTGACTATGTCAGCCTTATTTATAAGGAGTTTATCACTACTGAGAATGAAGGTGGAGATATATATTATTAAATATGCCAGCCTGATTCAAAAGGCGTTTTTCACTACTGATAATGAGGATGGGGTATGTGAATTACTGATAACGATGATTTGATTGATACTGCGAATGAAAGTGGAGGTATATAGTATTGACGATGCCAGCTTGACTTGTGAGGTGTTGTACACTACTTACAGTGATAGTGGAGGTATATATTATTAAATATGCCAGCCTGATTTATAAGGATTTATTCACTACTGAGAATGAGGGTAGAAATATATATTATTGGATATGGAGTTTTTCCACTACTGATAATGAGGATGGGGTATGTGAATTACTGATAACGATGAACTGCGAATGAGAGTAGAGGTATATAGTATTGACGATGCCAGCTTGATTTGTGAGGAGTTGTACACTACTTACACTGATGGTGGAGGTATATATTACTGACCATGCCAGCTTCATTTATAAGGATTTGGTGACTACTCGGAATGAAGGTGGAGGTTTTATAACTGTTTACGACATTTGGATTGATGAGGAGGTGTAGATCAATGAGACTAAGCTTGGAGATATATATCATTGACTAGGCCAGCCTGATTTTTGTGGGGTTGTACTTCTGCAAATGGGACCAATGACAGTTTATTGATGATGGGGATTGCGTAATAACCATGCGAGTTATGTAGACTTTGTCTGCCGTCATAATCAGTAGATTCCGGATTAAACGGAGACGAAATACTATTTTTATGCATATACTGCAATACGTCGCAATCAATATGTTTTACATTTATCTTTCGTTTGTTCTTTAGATGATGACGGTGATGGAACGGCCGAGGAAGATTGTGCCACACCTCCACCGAGTAAGTAGAAAATTATGGAGCTATAGAGATATAGAGCTATACATGCTATCACAAAAAATTGAAATTCCGAAAATACCACTTGTTAATTATAGAAAGTACGACTGGCCCGAGCTTGATATAACTGGGGAAACCTGTCGCTTCCAATGGCGCCACAGCCACAGAAGCATTTGTGATATTACATTAATGAATTGTTCATGTTGTTTGTTATGACGTACAAATTAAAATCATTTCCATACTGCTGTACTGATATTACTCGTTTACATGTATATATTTTTTTAAATCCTTTTTTTATTGATTCAGTGTTTTCTTTTCGAGATTTGTCTTTTTCCTGCTACTTTGATTGTTACTATTTTATGAAATTCACATTGCCGAAAGAGTAGCGGAATGACATTGGTTCAGAGATGGAAAGGTAGTAAATTAGATTGAAACGGTGTTGTTGTAAAGTAGAGGTGGCTATTTAACCTTCAAATGTCAATGTTTAACACAAAGGTTGTCGTTCTAGTTAACGGAGGGTGGAGTTCCTATGGAGCGTATGGAGCATGCTCGATCACCTGTCAATCGACAACAGGTGGCGCTACCTCGGGGACCAAGACTAAGACCCGGTATTGCAATAATCCTACACCCAAGTATGACGGTCAACAATGTTCCGGAAGTGACACATTAACCGCCTCTTGTACCCCATCAACCTACTGTCCAGGTAGGTTTTTCCATTTCAGATTAACAGTAATATGCATGACTTTAATTGATAACCTTAATCTAGAAATATAATGCTATTATATATATACTTTTTAGAAGATCAGTCAAAATGCTGTTTGATTCGCTTTTGCGAGTATTCTGGATTGCACATGCTTGTGTACATAACAATATTTTCAAAAAGAAGGATAATATCAAAAAAAAAAAACCAATACTGCGCAAGACATATTTTTGCATTTTGCACTGTGAACAAAAGAAGTCTTAATGTGTTAACTTCAAAAGAAATTTCTTGACCAAGGAATCTCCTGAACACACTCTATTGAATACGCTTGGTTATACACATTTTTTATGGTGTATTTAAAAAGCACTATGATAACGTCAACTTTTATTTTGAAATTGACATTTTCTAAGATTACGATAATTATGGAACCATAGGATTCAATTTGTTCTTAATGACCTCCCTTACGTCTCTTTCTTTCGTCCAGTTCATGGCGGCTGGGGAAGCTGGGGGTCGTATGGATCTTGCTCCGTGACGTGTGCAAGTGGGACGAAGACGAGGACACGGTCATGTAATAATCCAACGCCATTATACAATGGAAATAACTGCAGTGGTTCCAGTACCGATACCGCTAGTTGTACATTGAGCCCTTGTCCAAGTACGTATTATCATGTTCTTATGTCGGAACAGTATTTCTTTAATAACTTTTGTTTGATGTTATAGACTCTCTTGTAAAACAAAGTAATGTTGTTGATTTATAATATGAGAGAAGAAGGCCTCTTTTTTAAAATATTTGAATGTAAATATACACAGTTAATGCCTTGAAAGGGGGAAACTCTAGGGCATATTGATGGAATGTATGGATTCGTCCATTGTTATTTAAATTAGTATATCATTGTGCGTTTACATAGTCATTAAAGAAACTATATATTTTCAATAGCGTATCTTTCATTTTCGTTTACATGTATCAAGCTAGGATATTGATAATGTGTATAGCCTATAATGATACCTAATGCCATATAAGCGAGTTGATATACATTGTAAATTGTTGTTCCTAGCTCACCGTTCATGAACAAAATATTCATACCTTGCTAATAAATATGAAGTATTACGGGGCAGCCTTTAACACGTTATAAAACAACCCTCATAAAACAACTTGATATAACTCTATCGTTTGAAATTGAATAGTCTGGTTCCTAAAACTATCAAACATTTATCATGGGATTTTTAACTATTTCCTATATTTTGAGTGCCTCCAAGCCCAACAATAGAAACGTATTATCTGATCTAGACATAACTGTCTATATACATATACATATATATATATACGTGTTATGTCCTATTGGAAAAAAAACTGACTTGAAAAACATGTTCTTTAAATTGATCAAATGATACAACAATGTACATATTTGCAATGTCGTGATATTACAATGTAAGCGAAAAGTCAATGGTTTCCCGTATTACATATTTCATCGTAAGCGAATAGTCAATGGTTTTCCGTATTACATATTTCAGCGTAAGCGAATAGTCAATGTTTTCCGTATTACATATTTCAGCGTAAGCGAATAGTCAATGGTTTCCCGTCTTACAGAAGTCAATGTAAGCGAATGGTCCATGGTTTCCCGTATTACATAAGTCAATGTAAGCGGATAGTCAATGGCTTCCCGCTCAAGATGTTACCCACTAGTGGGTTACCAAATATGCCTACCATCTCCTAGCAAATTTTCCTAATGAGTTGGGTGTGAGGAAACTTATAGTAGTTGTGGGAGAAAAAAAGTTCAGCCATTTTATATTTTCACTTTTGTTGTTATTTGTATAGCAGTATCTGTATTCATGTCTGTTAACCGTTTTAAGTTGACGGCGCCTGGACGAGCTGGGCTGCCTGGAGTACCTGTACGGTCACGTGTGGAGGAGGAACGTCAACAAGAGATCGTACGTGTACTGATCCATCCCCACAACATGGCGGCGCTTCCTGCCCCGGCAATGATACGGCAACCATGGACTGTAACACGCAAGTTTGTATAAGTAAGTTGACCATTTTTCATTTCCAATACATTTCTTAAATACTCATTTGGCTATAAAACGTTTGAAAAAAAAAGATTCGTCATTGTAATGTGTGTTATAATATTGACAGGTTCTTGTCATCAACACGCGTATTTTCATTAATACACTGACATTTTTAAGATGATGAATCATTAAACGTGTGTTAAACTAAAACCAACAACATATATTTTATCAATAATTATGTATTTTCATTTAAGCATTGTACTATATTTTCAGTCGATGGCGAATGGGCTGCATGGAATGCCTGGGGCACTTGTACTCTCACATGTGGTAACGGGACGCAGTCAAGAAGTAGGAGCTGTTCTGATCCACTGCCTCTCAATGGTGGGCTTCAATGTCCCGGATCTTCCGGGGATTTCCTTGAATGTAACACACAAGCCTGCCCTGCCCCAATAGCTGGAGTTTACCAACAGGTTGGAACATATAAAATCTAATTTTATGTCAATGTGAATCATTATATACATGTATATCAATAACCTATTAATATCAGTGATATCAGTTTAATTTATTAATTTATCTGAAAATTGGGAATTTGAAAATACTCTACAATGGGAGGATATATACTGAACAAAAAAAGAAACGCACAAAGTTCCCCCCTGCAGTACACCTTAGCTGTAAGGAAATAATGGAATATTTGGTCAGGTATTACATCAAGAACGATCTCCCTTCTCAACAATCTACCCTAAAATCAGCCAAGCGTGACGATGTCATTGTGTGACTTTGTGAGCTTCTTTAGTCCAAATCACGCGGCGTGATCAAGCCAAGCCGGAGTTTTTCAAACAAATAATCTCAACGGATACTCTAAGTTCAGCCACATTAATTTTCCACGTTGGCATTTTGATTTCGCCATTGACTGAGATGCCACGCTTAACGCAAATTCAGAGGGGTAGAGCAATTGCGATGTTGATGGATGGTCATAGCCAAACTGCTGTCGCACGGCAGTTTGGTGTTGGCCCGTGTACAATTAACCGTCTCTGTACACGTTTCCGTGCTACTGGGTTAGTTTCCGATCGTCCCAGGAGCGGTCGTCCGCGTGTAACGACCGCACGACAAGACAGGGCGATTCGATTGTCGCACTTGCGCAACAGATTCAAGACTGCTGTAGAGACTGCGTTGCATATCTTAGGAACTCATGGCAGACCCATTAGTCCTCAAACTGCCAGGAACCGCATGCGTGCCGAGAGAATCATTGCGCGCCGACCTTATGTCGGGCCACCTCTGACACCACGGAGGCGGCAAGTGCGTTTTGACTGGATACGCAGACATGGTCCGAATAGGTTTGGGATGCGTCGATGGAGGTGTGTGATGTTCACCGACGAGTCTAGATTCTGTCTGTATCGCTCAGACGGAAGAAAAAGGGTATATCGCAGACGCGGTGAGCGTTTCGCCGACGCATGCGTGGCTGAACGCGATAAATTCGGTGGGGCTTCTGTAATGGTTTGGGGAGGCATCTCCCATTGAGTAAAATCCCCCTTAGTGGTCCTGGATGAAAACCTCAATGCCGTTCGATACAGAGACCAGATCCTCCAACCACATGTCCTTCCACTTCTCAGACGTCATAACCTAATTTTCCAGCAAGACAATGCTCGACCGCATGTTGCCAGAGTCTGTCGTGATTTTCTCACGGCAAACAACGTTCAATCTCTGGAATGGCCCCCATATAGCCCCGACATGTCTCCCATTGAGCATATGTGGGATGAGCTGGACAGGCGTATTAGGAAACGTCAAAAAAAACCAACTAACCGCGCCCAGTTGATCGCAGCATTGACACAAGAATGGAACAACATTCCCTTAAGGCGATTAAATGTTCTCATGAATTCAATGCATAGGAGAATCCGTGCAGGGATTCGTGCAAAAGGTGCCCACACCAGGTACTGAAGTGTCATTTTGTTTTTCGCGGGCATCCCACTTTGAGTAACTGATGACACGAGTGACGTCACACAGACGTTTCTTCTACAGTATTGTAGAGTAGACTTGTCCCTTCATATTGATTTAAAAATTTGTACAAATTTCCCAAAATATGATAGGCGATTGATTGCATAATTTAATTGTGCATTTCTTTTTTTGTTCAGTATATGTTTGTAAGTACAAAAACAAACATGCATTTGTGTCAGAAGGCGGAGAAAGGTCTATCATATGTAGCAACAAAGCAAGTTTGATACATAATTGTTTATATTCGTGCGACGATGTCAAAATGTCAAGCTATTACTGCTCGCCGAAATAATGAAACATCAGCTGATACGGTACTTAACATTTTGAACTCAAATATTTGTGAAAATGCAAAACTTTATAAAGTTTTTGAACAAAAAAAGTATTTCTTGTGCTACCGTCTGCATCTTTAAGTATGTTGGATAAAGTTATCCAACATGAGGGTTTCGTGTGCGACAGGTTTATCTTGCATACACAGAGGTGAGTGAAAAAAAGGCTTATAGTCGAAAGAATAATTAACAGGGTTTTCCGCTACAATAAGAAGAAATTTATGAAATTCCTGAATATTGAAGACTAATATCCTTTGAGCCTTAACCGGTAGTAATGTTTGCTGTCATGCCAAGAAAAAAAATGTATGAGTCAGCACTGAAGCTGGCAGCAGCCGTGTATACTCTGACTATAGTGAAAACAGTCTAATCTGACAGTTTGTGGACATAAAATGTTAGACGTAATATACAATATGTCGGAATACACAAAGGTGCCAGCATATCTTGATAATAGCACTATGTTGGCTTTTCAAAATAAAGGTAGGTTGATGAAATGTTCAGGGTTGGTATTAAACAGATTTTTTTGTCTATATATGTATCATACATTTAATTTATTATTTATATTATTACATTATTTTCCTGTCATTCTATAGTTGTGCCCAGTGAACTGGTTTACCTGTGAGAGCGGTCAGATTACCTGTATAGAAAAGATACTCATGTGTGACTGTGACAGCGACTGTGACGACGGAAGTGACGAAACAGAGGGATATGCTGGGTGCAATTCCTACCTGCTGCAGTCATGTGGGAACGGAGCAAACGGTAAGTTAATCCCCGACACGAAATAAGATAATAAACGATATATATAAATCAAGATAATTTTTCGTTTTATTGTTTTTTTAACAATTAGATGAGAAAAAGTCAACATCGCACGAGTTTCGAATTTATTCTTTTTTCCATTTTAATGGTATTTGGACAGAATATTACCGGGTGTACAACGTGATTCACCATGAGAAATAATACTTTAAATTAACCATCATGTATGAATATAACAACTCAATATACCTTTTGCGATTCCATTACATGATACCAAATGTCTTGTATTTATATTTGTATAGAGTAATTGGTTTGAAATAAGATACCTATTCTGATATCTCAATGAGTTTTTCTTCCCATTTTTGTAGGGTTCTTGAAGATATCTAAGTGACTGATTACGCTTACCTTTTCCACTGTCTGGTTGCTGCGACGATGGCAGGAGTGCTTGGGCTGATGATGTCATCATATGACATACACCTAGTCTCGGGATTATATTTGTAGAAGCACACACATTTCATCGCACAGCCAGTGAAACGACACCACCATCAGCTCTTGTATAGGACTCAAGAACCTCTGTGGAAAGGAACTCTGTATTCATAGTTCCCTGTGTAACACACCAGTGTTACCACAATCATCATTTTGACCAAATGATCATAACGAGACAATTTAAAAGATTATTATGAAATAAATTGATCGTGCAAAGTATGATGAATCTGTCTTTAACACCATCCATGTACTATACATGATGTCATACATTTCATGACGTCATCATTAGTAATGTCTGCAATCAAAAAGGGACATATCGTATACATAGATGTAGATTACTTTTATGCCAGTGACACCGCTGAAACAGAAGAAGGACTGATGTCCGAGAACTTTCTTTCGGAGTTTTTCTCCAGAATCATTAAGAGTCTCCTGATCATTCAATTGTAATTGATCACCTCACTAATGTATAAGTTATTGGATTATGTTAACACCACGTTGGGTACTCACCACTATTTGATTTGTCTATATCCATATCCATGGCAAGTTGAATGTTTCAGAGTTATATGAATAAAACACTGTTAAATGATCAAAACAAAAAAAATGAATAAAATTTGTGATACGGCTCTGCTATTTTGTTTCTGTCATTTGTCATTTCACATAAACAAGAGTATAAACAGACTCAAACTATCCCCATCTTATTTTGGAGGTAGATATAAGTTCACACAAAGAGAATAAATTATATATCTTTTTTCATTTACCGTAGGTATGCAAAAACAATTGATTCATCATATCTCAAAAATGATGTTTACGACTGGTCATACTTTAAAACTTCCAATGTTTTAACGCTCGCTTGTTAAATATAACACTTAGGACAAGAGGCCCAGAGGGCCTGTATCGCTCACCTGAATATGTTTAAAATAATTGGTATGAAGTAAAGATATAGCACTCCATGGTAGGTGCTGTAAGTACATATGAAATTTCAGAAAGATCCATCCAGTACTTAGGATATAGCGAGGACTTCAAACAGAGCACCACCCCTATGCCCCTAGTGGGTCATACCCACCGTTTATACAAATTTGAGTCCTTCGTAAAGAAGACAAGGTATTTGAAGAATTTGCTTTGTTTCCCCTATAGGGCCCCGTCCTTCTGCTCCAGGGGGGCCAGACTCACTGTATATACAAAATTGCGTCCCTTTTGCCCAAGATCCTCCAGACGAAATTGGGAAGAAAGCCCTTCATCCCTATGGTACAGGAAGGATTTTAAAGGTTTGCCTCTATTTCCCTTATTGGGCCCCGCTCTTCTGTCCCTTGGAGACCACACCCACTGCTTATACAAAATTGAGTCCCCTTGGCTCAAGGATGCTCTAGACTAAATTAGGATAAAATTCCTTAATCCCTATGGTAGAAGAAGGATGTTAAAGGTTTTACCTCTATTTCCCCTATTGGGCCCCGCCTCTGTGCCCCAGAAGGGCTGGGCCCATGGTTTATACAAAATTGGTTCCACTTCACCCAAGGATGTTTCATACCAAATTTTGACAAAATCCTGTCATTCCTACAGAAAAAGAAGGATTTTAAAGAATTTGCTATATTTCCCCTATTAGGCCCCTACCTTCTGCCCCCAGGGGGGCCACACTCGCTGTTTATACGAAATTGAGTCCATTTTTCCCAAGGATGCTCCAGATTAAATTAGGATAGGAACATCATGATATTGAATTATGAAAGTGTTTTTTTTTTTAAAGAACTGGTCTTTAACAATCGACTGTTAAAAACATAAAATCAGAAAGGTTGAGTACGAAAGGATATGAAAATATCTTGATCGTTGACCTAATAACCACCATCAAATGCTTATGTGTGTGTTACAAGGGCAGATAAAAACAAAGGATTAAGATTACGCGTTAGAAATTAAATCATATATAATCTGAAATGTACGACTTATATTTATGGCACAGTGGGTTAATAGGTTAGTTCAGACATGGCGTCGGCGATATTCGGTAACGTATACTATATTTATTGTAATTTCACACATGTTTATCTTGTTTGTTTAATTTTATATACATATTATTCATAAATCCGATAATTGATGCTAGACATAATGAATATTATAAAATACAATATGAAATTTAACAAAAAAATATTTGAAACGGGTATTAATGTAGGTGTATCGACCAACAGTAAATGCTATTCATTACTTTGTAACATTGATAATGATAAGCCAATAGAAATCCATCTGCAGTTTGATGAAAAACTTAGTTTTTGTAAGTCTTTACAGTTTCAGATCGTGAAGTGACCATCGTATCATATGTTATTATAGTTACACTTTGATAAAGCAGTGTTTGTTTTTTAAAAAACAATACATTAGTTGTGTACGTTTTATCTGTGATATATAACTTGGTTGACTTGCTGATCAAAACTTTACAAAAATGTGCAGTTATTGACTAATCGTTATATAGCACTATACATGATTTAAATTGTTTATAAATGTATCTGTTTTAAAGAATATTAATATAATGTGTCAGTTTGGTGTAAAATTAAAAAGCAGGTTACCGAAGTTAACCTATACCAACCACCGAGATTGTGTAAAGTAGCTCTAACCCATACAGTTGTTGTATGATTGTATATCCTAGAGACTGCTAAAGTAGCATTATTGTCAGATTTAATAACTTTTAATATCAGGTTTGAACGGTGTTATTTTTAATTTTTATACTTATATAAACACCCTGCAATTATTGTATTTACATTCTTAATTTTACTTATTATCGACCTTAATGTTGATATTTCCGATATTGAAGTGTCTATGTCGTCAGTGTAAACGAGATTCCAGTAGTGGCCTAACGTCATCCCAATCTTTGCTTCTACATGTAGCAGTTGTCGAATGTTTTTCGAGGTAGGAAGAGAAGCTTCGAAATGACAAAGATACAATCGCGCATATATAACGAATTTTCTCATGGTGATGTTCACAGAAGAACTTGCGGTGGAAATGTAAACAAACACTTCTGTTTTTTCGCCATTCCATTCTATGAGAACTATTCAAGAGGTACACTACATCTGTGTGCAATATTCTACGTCATGTAACAGTCTGTTAAGGATGATGATTGGTGCAATTAAGGTACCGTATTTTATGTTATAATAAAGTAAAAAAGGACAAAGTATATAAAAGTATTTTTTTAACGTTTATACAGGTGTTTTGACTTTGGTGTGCCTTGCGTGCCAATTTAGCGGCACCCTTGGTAAGTGATATATTAAAAATTATAAAACAAAACATTTAATAATAATTTGAAATTAATTAAATATACATTTTATGGTGGGTTTTTTAAAATCAAAAAACATTTTTTTTACAAGAGGCAATGTAAATATATGTTAAATTTGATGAGGTTTGCACAGGAGATACACGTACTATTTCTTTGTCAATGTATAACCAGTATATTTAAATTTATATTTTTATTTATTCTCTTTATCATGACCATTGTATCGTATAGGATTTTTGCTAATATACATACTTATGACCTGCCACTAAAGCCACTGCAATTAAACAATCTGTAATTTGTCTCTCTGTTTTTATAACGGTAACATTCAATGTATACTGCATTTCTTCACTCAACATTCATTGCATGGCTTTGACAATACCAATGCCTTTTTAAGGTGCGCCCGACAATCGTGGTACAGAGTTCATTATTGGATACATGCAGAACATTGCTGAGAGCCTTAATGTCGAACTCTTCGTCACAACAATGAGGACAACTACAGTCAACGTGCGAATAACTGCTCCGAGATACAGTGACGCAGGTATCAACGAGGCCTTCACTGTAACAGCAGGAACTGTTAAACAACTGTTCTTTCACCCCCGTATCCGTCTGTACGGCAACGAGATGAGTTCTAAGGCTGTCCTGGTAACTGCTGACGATGAAGTGGTTATCTACGGTGTAAACAAGGAGACATACTCATGTGATGCCTTCCTTGGACTACCGACAGATGTTATGGGAACCGAGTACTACGCCATGACGTACTACCCGCCGTCCAGACAGTGCGAGCTTTTAATTGTTGGTGTGAACGACAGTACTACAGTCAACATCAAAGTAGGGGACGCTATTGGAAGTCGATACATCTCCTGGGGTGGGAGCAATTACTATAGGGGTAACACGCTCACTGTTACCATGGACAGATTTGATACATTTCAGTTAGTCACCTACGGCGACCTGTCTGGGACATATATCACTTCTAGTAAACCGATCTCTGTGTTCAGTGGTAACAGGAAAACAAATATTGGCAGTGGTGGAAGTTCTGACCATTTGGTTGAACATCTGACAAATGTTGATACATGGGGTAAGCGCTTTGTCACCGTTCCTGTTCCAAAGAGGACTGTTGGTGACTATTTCAAGTTCATAGCCAGCGAGAGCAATACCCGAGTTACAATAAGCGGCGGTTATTCAAATTCATTCACATTAAGTAGCGCAGGGACTGTGGTTCAGAAGTCAATCTCGTCCAATGCACATTGTCTTGTTGTGTCGGACAAACCAATCCTTGTAGTACAGTTCTGTCTCAGCCAGCAGTCTTCAAATGAAGAATCGGATCCTATGATGATGATTATTCCACCAGTGGAACAGTTTGGAGCCGATTATACATTTGCCACACCAAAGTACTCTCTTGGATCTTATAGCAACTACTTCATGTTTATCATCAAGGAATCTGATAAGTCTGGACTCCGAGTCGATGGCAATGCCTTTCCATCCAATACTGTATATAACAGGATCAGCGGTACCGACTATGTAGGGGGTTACATCAGCGTGTCCGAGGGGTCCCACACTGTACGTCACACGTCTCCCATCTCCATCTTCGGTGGGTACCTGTACGGTCAAGCCAGATACGAGACGTACGGATTTACTACAGGAATGCGTATGGCTGGCATCAACACAGTATGTTTGTTTGTTGTTGTATTTAGGGGTTTAAGTCTTTGCAGTACTTATGGTCATATATTGTCTAGAGGAACTCCATTGAGTATATTTAAGGGAGTGAAAAAAGTATTGTGGTTTCTATAAGTTCTAGTCATAATCTCTGTTATTATAAGGTCTAGATTTCATTATTTTGAATCACATGTGTTGTGTTGTTTAAATTATGATAACGTATCTTCTGATTACACTTTTCTATTATTTTAAGTCCAAAATATTCAAGGTTTAGTGTAAAAGATATTACGATTTAATTCCTCTCTGAAGTACATGGAAGAGTAGATAGATGTCGTTTATTTAAATACTGCCTTATATATATATATGATCATATACAACAATTGTAAATTCAAATGTGGACATTCAGGATATTTTTGATAGAATAAAGTGAACTTTGAAAATACCGTGATGCACATTACTACTCATTAATATATTTTTTTTAATATGCATGGTTCAATCACAGCCAATAATCAGATGGATATCATGTCTAGTCAGTAATTATAAATGCACATAAACTTTTCCAAACACGGAAGTAAATATATAAAACGTATTAACATAAATACATCTGTTTCATCTTTTCCTTTTACAGGTTTGTGTGCCGACAGCTACCGTGGTAGGTGACGGTGTAGACAATGACTGTGACGGCCTGATTGATGAGGAGTTGTGTACTACAGAGAATCAGGGCAGAGGTATGTATTAGTAACGGTCGGCCTGAATGCTTAATGTTGTTAACTGAAGAAAAAATATCTGTTCAATACATATATGATTGAGCATACCTATGCATTACAAAGAAAGTAACTATCAGTCGCACTGACGGCTTGAATAATGAACATAAAGTTTTTATACAAGGAATATCCATTAAACAATATTTTTGATATCTTTTTGTAGATGATGATGGTGATGGAACTGCTGAAGAAGATTGTGCGACACCTCCCCCGAGTAAGACTTAATTTGCCTCAAGCTACAAAGTTTTTTCACAAGCTATGTTAAAATGTGCCCGAAATGATACTGCATATGACATCACTTTGTGACGATACGCCAACGAAACCAACACATACGAAAATATCAGCTTTCAGAGAAACTGTCATTAGAAATACGATATAATGGTCTATTTAAAAACGAAATACGCCTAACAAAGTTAATTAATATTTTACTCAATCATAACGTCGTTTTGTCTATTCGTAGGTCAAATGAATGATGGGAAATATATGTAGAAACATATATTAAAAGAGCAATGGTCCTTATAAAACTCACACGTTATCCATCCTCTGCATATGCAATTATGTTCCTTTTATACCTTTCTGGTCTCAAGGTTTGCAAAAGATGATTTATTCATAGAAGTGTAGTATATACCCCAGAATCGGCTATAGGTTTCGTTTACAATGTATTGCATTTAATTAAAAATTCGTGGGGTAAATTGTCTATATAGAGGAAGTGGAAAACGTTATCGGAATGTTTTCCTGATATGTACTGAAACTTGAAAATGAAGTTAAAAAGTAAATTAACTGTTTGATTACATAAGAATGGTAAACAGTTTGTCTAGTGTTACTAAGTATATTTATTATCTTATTTATTACGTATTGCATTGTCTTTTTATTTTGCAAATGTCGATGCATGTATAAGATACAAGAATGGATGTTTTTCGTTGTAGTTGACGGAGGATGGAGTTCCTATGGAGCGTACGGAGCATGTTCGGTCCCCTGCCAATCGACAACAGGTGGCAGTACCTCGGGGACCAAGACGCAGACCCGGTATTGCAATAATCCTACACCCAAGTATGACGGTAAACAGTGTTCCGGAAGTGCAACCTCAACCGCCTCCTGTACCCCAACCATCTACTGTCCTGGTAGGTTATCACTATGTACACAAACTATGTGTATTGTCAACACCTAAAACTACAAAGTAAACTACGTTCTTCAGGTTAATAAAACAAGAGATCCCAGAGGGATCTTGGCGCAAACCATTGCATCATCTTCATTAGTTCTTTGTCAGTTCGATCTTTTCTGTTCTTTCCTCTAATCTGTTTGATCGAGTCATGTTAACAGTAAATGCACCTTGAGGTAACTTTTGATCTAAACTTAATACTGATGTGTATGAAAGCCAACCTTCCAAGTAAGTTTGTCATAACACATATTTACTAGAACAGTACTTAATGTGAAAGAAATAGAATCGATCATTGTAATATGAGAGAGATCTGTTTAGTTCTTCCTTTAGCCATTTTGTTTTTATGAGCAGTCTCAAAATATAACCTGCACAGCGAGGGATCAAGGTGAACCTACATATCAAATTTGAGAAAGTTCCCTCAAGTTATTCCTGAGAAATAGTACAAACAAACCTTCAATGTCAAAAATCGAAGATGGCTGTCGGTAGGCCATTTTGTTTAACTGATCAGTTTCGAAAGTAAACAAGAACAATAAAGGATGGTGGGGAACCTGCATATAGAATTTCAGTACTTCCTCGGAATTAGCACTTACAAACCTTAACTGTCAAAATCAAAGATTTGTTTATTCGATCAGTCTCATAAGAAAATATGCATAACTTCATACCAAGGGGAACGTACATTAAGATTTAAGAAAGATCTCACCAATATTTCCTGAGTAATAGCCATAACATACCTTCACTGTCAAAATCGAAGATGTCTGCCTGTCTGCCATTTTGTTTTATCTGATCAGTGTCAAAGGTTTATATACACAAGCAAGGACCTAGGGAAACCTACATATAAGATGTGAGAAAGATCTCTCCACAACTTCCTGAGAAAAAGAGATAACAAACCTTCCATGTCAAAATCCAAGATGGCTGCATGTTGGCCATTTTGTTTTTCTACTCATTACCAAAATTAAATATGCACAACTACAGACCAAGGGAAACCTACATATAAAATCTGAGATGGACACCTTCCGTACTTCCTGAGTTCAGACGAAAGGGAACCTACATATAAAATTTGTGAAAGATCCCTCTGGTACTTCCTGAGAAATAGCGATAACAAACTTTCACTATCAAAATCCAAGATGGCTGCCTGTCGGCCATGTTGTTTATCCGATCAGTCTCAAAAGTTGCCTTGCACAACAAGGGAACAAGGGAAACCTACATATAAAATCTGAGATGGAAATCCCCCGTACTTCCTGAGTTCAGACGAAGGGGAACCTACATAAAAAAATTGAGAAAGATCCCGTAGGTCATTCCCAGAAATAGCGATAACAAACATGAACTGTCAAAATCCAAGATGGCTGCTTGTCGGGCATGTTGTTAATCCGATCAGTCTCAAAAGTTGCCCTGCACAGTTAGGGACCATGGGGAACCTACATTATATACATACAAAAATTGAGAAAGATCCCTATAGTACCTCCCGAGAAATAGCGATAACAAACTTTCAGTATCAAAATCCAAGACGGCTGCCTGTCGGCCATGTTGTTGATCCGATCAGTCTTTAAAGTTGCCCTGCACAGCTTAGGACCAAGGGAAACCTACATATAAAATATTTGAATAGAATCTACAACTCGATTTAAGAGATGTAAAGAGATTTATTTTATTAAGTGTGTATAGAATAGGCTGCGCCGTACTCGGGTCCTTTTAATGTCGGTTTCGTGTTGTTTTTGTATGAAAGTGGTCATATTTAAAAATATCTTTTTACTTTGAATGATTATGAAATTGAGGTTTCTAAGTTCTCCCTTATCACGTCCAGTTCACGGCGGCTGGGGTAGTTGGGGATCGTATGGATCCTGTTCAGTCACATGTGCCAGTGGAACGAAAACAAAGACACGGCCATGCAACAACCCTACCCCAGCACACAACGGCGATTATTGTAGCGGGTCCGGCTCTCAAACCACTAGCTGTACGCTGAGCTCCTGTCCAAGTAAGTACAATTTGTTTGTATATTTATTTATTTATTTATAAGGTAAATTTGTCAATTTGTTTGCTCTTTTTATGGTTTCCATCTGAAAGCATCAGCATTATCCTATGATACCGAAAAGAAGGTCTTTATGGGTGAGTAGAGTGAGTAAAATAATCCGAACAAAGAAAATAAATCCCTTTTATATACATTTTAAGCGAAAATGAACAATTTAAAAATATTCTTGGGATCCTGAGACATATTTAACAGTAAATGCTACTTTGTATTTTATTTGATCGAACGTTGTTTTAATGTGTTTTTTCTCCTCTTTTTGAATATTGTATCAATGTTATTTATATCATAATATCATTGTTTATTTATATTTAAATTGATAGTTTCCATATTTTCGTTAAATTCTGTTTTATCGTTACTTTCTATTTTCTATACCAGGATATTTTTTGTTGCAATTCCTGATATTTCATATAATATAAACATATTGATACATATTCAAAATTATCCTTCCTTACTCAATTTCACCTCAAGAAATAATGTTCATGTTCTTTCAAAATATAAAAGGTTTTCAGTAATCAACCTTTATATATCCTCTGAAACAAATCACATATGAAATGCATATTACTGAAATGGACCTGTAGATAACCTAGGGGTATACTTTGACAGTTCTCTGAACATGGAGAAACAAGTGAACGCGATTGCCAAATCCTGTTACTACCAGATCAGGAACATCGGCTGTATTCGGCAGTTTCTAACTGCAGATGCATGCAAGATTTTGGTGCATTCACTTGTTACCTCTCGGTTGGATTATGGTAACGCCCTGCTCTGTGGTATATCTGACAAACTAACTAGTCGTCTGCAGAGGGTTCAGAACACTGCAGCACGGCTAGTTACTCGTACTCGAAAGAGAGAGCACATCACACCTGCGCTTTATTCGTTGCACTGGTTACCTGTACGATACAGGTCGCAGTACAAAATTCTGGTATACACATACAAGGCACTGAATGGAACAGCTCCTCAGTACCTACAGGAACTTGTTACCCTGTATCAGCCGTCAAGATCACTGCGGTCGGAGTCAGAATCTTTGTTGTGTGTCCCAAAATCTCGTACTGTGACCTACGGAAACAGATGCTTTGGGAGGGTTTCGGCTACGTTGTGGAATAGCTTACCATCTGCTATTAGGAAGTCGAATACCCTGGCCAAGTTCAAGAGGGACATAAAAACTCACCTCTTCACGTCTGCATTTTAGAATCTTTGCAAAGACGTCATGTAAATACCACCCTTTTATTTGTTCAATTATGTGCACATTGCTTGTTAAATGTATGAAAGTGATTGCAAGCCTTTGTTGTTTGTTTTCACAATTATAACCATTACTATTATCCATATGTTGTAAAGCGCCTTAGAGTAATTTTATAAATTATATAGGGCGCTATATAAATGCTGTATATTATTATTATTATTATAGATGTAAACGTTATGCTAATGTAAACTGCCAAACTGTTTGTGTGTGTGCTTGTATACTGGATTTCGCAAAAAAGGTGAATTTGCCAAAATGCTTTTTGGGTATGGTTGCAGGTAGCGTTCAAGTGTTAACGTTCATGTATGTTTTAGTCGATGGTGGCTGGGGAGCCTATGGAAGCTGGGGATCGTGTTCAAAATCCTGCGGCACTGGATCGCGCTCAAAAACAAGGCAGTGTAATAATCCGGCCCCAGCAAACAACGGCGCCGACTGCTCCGGATCTACTACGAGCACTGACTCATGTAACACGCACGCATGTCCTAGTAAGTACTGAAGCATCGTGTTCATATGTGTTGAAATATGTATATTTTGATATATATTTCAAGAATTACGGAGGCAATTTCGACAAAGAGTGAATCAGTTTCAATTTATCAATAGAACTGAAAGAGGGAGATTTCTCTCGTAATTACATTCGAACAACCTGAGACTAAAACACGGTTCTGAAAGTTTAAACGTTTTAATTTCTCAAAAAGAATTTTTGATACAAAGCTAACGTTTTAATTTTCTGTAACAAAATGTTGACATTTATACATTAAACAAAACCAAACGCTATCATCAGTAATTGTATATAGAACATTTAATTCCTTAACAAAACAAATATTCCAAGATAAAGATGACCAGTAAATCAAAATATATTTATATGGAAACTTTTAAGTTCATGACACGTTTCTCAACTGTAACATATTTTAATGAAAGATTTCTAATTTTACATACATTGAAAATATTATGATGTAACCTGCACGAACATGCCACATTCTCCCGATAGCTCTGTTTGTTTCCGAATTTTCCAAATAATTTATAGCTTGCCATTTTGTAAATGCAATAAATGTCCTTACTTGTAGTCGATGGTGGATGGTCGTCTTGGGGGAGTTATGGTTCCTGTTCTGTGACATGCGCAGGGGGTTTGAAGTACCGGACACGTTCGTGTACAAATCCTAGTCCACAACATGGAGGCGCATCCTGTGGAACGGACGACACCAGCAGTGCGACATGTAACACAAACCCATGTCCGAGTAAGTATGACATGTCAATATGACATGTCATTGTCAGTAGCTTTACATCGGATTCATCTCTTCAAAGTTACTACCTCAAGTATTTATTAGCTCACCTGGCCCGAAGGGCCAAGTGAGCTTATGCCATGGCACAGCGTCCGTCGTCCGTCCCTCAACTTTTTCATTTAAAACGCTTCTAATCCTTAACGGCTCAAAGGATTTTGACCAAATTTGGTCTGGAGCATCATTGGACAAAGGGTTTTCAGTTTTGTATAAACGAACGGTATGGCCCCCATGGGGGCAGAGGGGCGGGGCCAAATAGAGGTTAAAATAGGTAAATATTTAAAAATCTTCGACCTCTTTACCAATAGAAGGATTTTGACCAAATTTGTTCGAGAGCATCTTTGGACAAAGGAGCCTCAAGTTTGTATAAACGGAGGATGTGGCCCCTCTGGTGGCAGAGGGGCGGGGCAATAGGGGAAATAGAGGGGTTTTCCCTACTATACAAGTGAAAGGATTTAAACCAAATGCAGTCTGAAGCATGCTTAGGGACAAAGAATCAATTTCGCATACACTGAGGTGTGTTGGCCCCCTTCTTTGGGGCAGATGGGTCGGGCCCATTAGGGGAAATAGAGGAAAACATTAAATATCCTTTTTCTTCTGTAACGATGAATGGATTTTGATTTAATTTGGTCTGGAGCATCATTGGCAAAAGGATTCTCAGTTTTGTATAAGCAGAGGGTATGACCCCCATGGGAGCAGAGGGGCGGGGCAAATTAGGGGTAAAATAGGTAAATCTTTGAAAAAAATCTTCTTCTTAACCAACAAAAGTATTTTGACCAAATTTGTTCTAGGGCATCTTAGGAAAAAGGAGCCTCAAGTTTGTTTAAAGAAGGGTGTGGCCCCTCTGGGGGCAGGGGGCGGGACCCAATAGGGGAAATAGAGGTATTTTTGGGACAAAAGAATCAATTTTGTATAAACTGAGGTGTGTGGACCCCTTTCTTTGGGGCAGATGGGTGGGGCCCATTAGGGGAAATAAAAGAAAACATTAAAGATCCTTTTCCTTCTGTACCGTGAAAGGATTTTGACCAAATTCTTTCTTCAGCATCATTGGTCAAAGGAGCCTCAAGTTTGTATAGACAGAGGGTATGGTCCCTCTGGGGCAGAGGAGTGGGGCCCAATAGGGGAAATAGAGGAAATGGTTTCTCCTACTGTACATGTGAAGGGATTTAAATCAAACGTGGTCTGAAGCATGCTTAGGTGGAAAAAAACTCATTTTGATAGATTTACATGTAGTTCTCCTTGCAACTCGACAGGAAGTATTCTCACAAACATGCCTTCCGTCCTCCATAAGCCATGGTTTACGCTCACTTTCGCTCACAGCATCCCTAGAATATGTCATATCTATTTGATTGGACCGGGAAAAGAGAACTTGTTCAATTGTTTGGCTTGTACATGTTCTTTAAAGATTACAGAAAGGAGCGACACCCACCTTTAAAGCCAGTCAATTGTACCGTAATGTGCCCGCAAGATTATTGCGGTGTATATCAAAGGATCAAACTAGTCTTCTTGTGTCATCCATAGGGTGGCGCACACTGAGCTTATAAAGTATGACTAAGATTAGTGGTACATCTTGGAACAGTTTATTCGAATGGCAGTATTAAAAAGGATTTATATTCAAGCAGTTTCCGGTTTAACACAGCTATAAATCTTAGTTAAATTTCTTGTAAAATGTTACAAGTGCGAATTTCTTTAATCTAATTATTTGTTTTTCTATTAAGTCGATGGTGGATGGTCCTCTTGGGGGAGTTATGGTTCCTGTTCAGTGACATGCGCAGGTGGAGTGAAATACCGAGAGCGTACATGTACAAATCCTAGCCCACAATACGGAGGAGCGTCGTGTGGAAATGATGACACCAGTAGTGCGACCTGTAACACCCATCACTGTCCAAGTTAGTGCAATTATTGATGTATCCATCAGGTATTTGACAGGCATGTTCTCTAATAGCGAATTGAATTTCTGTCTGCGAACAAGTGTACATATTTTTCATTACTTAATGTTAAAAGCGACAAGTGGTATTTTGCTATAAGCGTTATAACGACGTATAATCGATTTATCTTGAATTGTATTAAATAACCATTCAAAAAAGATATATAACTACTGTTCAATTGAGCATCAAACGGGGTTTTTTGGCGGCAAATCGTTCTTTAAATTTTGATGCACGTTCAAAACATTGCAATGTTTGAGTCGTGCCCTGAATCTGGGTTTCTGCCCTAAAGCAGGGTTTCAACGACTTACATTTTTACTACATTGAAAAAGAAAGAATATTCTATTCTTAACTTTATATTTAACGTTTTCAAACCGGCTCATCTGGCATCATGGTTTTTTTGTTTTACATTTTGGGTTGTTGGGTCCATCACAACGAAGCCAAAAAATCTAAATTCTCTAATCCTATGAATACTTGATAAATTGCATTTGCAGAACATACTTTGCATGTGCGTTTCTTATATTTTCTCTAAAGTTGATATGCTGAAATTTCTAGGAATGTAGTTGTGTTGTATTCTATAACTACATGTATCAGTATTTTATTTATTCTACTTCCTAACACATTAGATAAAAATCGACTTTCACATATAAAACAGAGTTTTTAATTAGTATGTTTTTGATTTGGCTCTATTTAATTATTTACTCATTTATAAATCAATCTATTTATTCATGGTTTCGTTTGGATGGGGGGAGGGGGGGTAACGTCCTTGCATATGCAGACGGATGCTTGAAACACCGCCGAAACGAAATACTAGGTTAGGGAGGAGAGACATGATAAAGTTCCCAAAGGCAGTGGATGATATCTTTTTCCATATCCCGAAAAACAAGAAATGTTCGGAAAGTCTCGCATTAGTTGCCTTTTACGATATATTGGAGAGGGACACATCATGTCTATTTTATGTTTGTTTGTTTTCTACGTATACAGTTGACGGAGTGTGGGGTTCTTGGGGAAGCTTCACATCCTGCTCATTAACCTGTAAAGACTACGGAACGTCACAAACCGGAACCAAGAGCCGGACCCGTTCCTGTGATAGCCCTACCCCGCAGTATAATGGCGCCTACTGTCCAAATTCTGATACGGACGTCGATACATGTACTACCTCCACTTACTGCCCAAGTATGTACGTCGAGTATAAATTCGCATACCATAAATTCTCTTTAGATATATTAATCGAATATTGGGTCATCTCCATTTGTCGTACGTTCCCGGGCTTCTAGTAAGCCATTATTAAGTACAGGGTGTGATTTTGTACATTTGCGAGATATCTTCCGTATTCACCGTTCGTCTAATGTTTCCCTCTATCATGAAGTAAGAAGTAGTGCTGGCGTTTATGCAAGCATTCATTAAGTGTTGTTCAAATTTCATTTATTCTAAACGCATACCTGTCGATATTCAAATGTATTAAAATGTCTTTGGTTATAAATATATATAACCTTGTATGTGTCTTACATCTTGAAGCGACCACCATCAGAACAGCACTCAAATCGTTTTAATATGAAACACTTATGACATGGTTTACTAAAATTCTATTAAACAGTCCACGGCGGATGGTCTGCATGGAGCAGCTGGAATACTTGTTCTGTCACGTGCGCTAGTGGAATTCAGCACCGCACGAGAACATGTACCAATCCACCAGCCCAGTATGGTGGCCTGACGTGCGGTGGCAGTGCCAATGACAGCCAAGTGTGCACTCTGTCGCCTTGTCCAAGTGTGTACATCTAGAAACTGAGGACAAAAGATTTAGTAACATTACTGTAGTACCAAAAGGAAATAACTGAGGATCCTTGTGTCTTTAATCGAGATAATTTATCATTTAAAAAAATGTTTAAATGTTAAGAATATCAAAATGGTTTCCCGTAATACAAATCTAGAGTATATACAATAATAAACATATACATGTAATGCATATCATTGATATTAGGGCACCGGTATCCCCTATACACTAGTGTTAGTCAAACATAATACCGGAAATCATAATCGCGTATGACTTTGGTATCGTAGCGTCACCAACATATTAATTCAGAAGTTTCTTCACAACAGTGGAACATTTTTCAATATTTTTGCTGCATTATAGATTTGTTCAAACTTCATAAGTAAAATATAAAATACAATCAATTTAAATTTGTAAATCTTTGATACATCATATCTGTATTTATGTCTGCTTACCGTTTTAAGTTGACGGCGCCTGGACGAGCTGGGCTGCCTGGAGTACCTGTACGGTCACGTGTGGAGGAGGAACGTCAACAAGAGATCGTACGTGTACGGATCCATCCCCGCAATATGGCGGCGCTTCCTGTGCTGGCAATGACACGGCAATAATGGACTGCAACATGCAAGTCTGTATAAGTAAGTTTGTTCAGTCAACGTTTTAATCATATTTATAAAAATATGAGAATCCATGCGCTACTTTCTAAGAGTGATATTAGAAAATAAATACTTGCAATTGTAATACCTACTTACAGCATTGTATACATCCGACGATAGTATCTCTATAAGTTAAGATAAAGAAATATTTTATCATTAGACATTATCCTTTATTATCATATTGTAGGTTTTTAATCTTTGGAATAGTGAAAAGTGTAATATTGAACATTTAAGCGGCATTTTTAAAAGACATTTATGAAATGTAAACATTCTACAATATGAATTTAAGTGAGTTAAATGAGTTGCGGTGTTAATAAGTCCTATTCATCACTACCAATTAAAATTATATACATGTATATGTGTTAACACATGCATTGTTTAATCCATCTAAAACATTACAACTTGAACATTTAATAACTCTATTTTTTCACTTAAATCCTTGTATTCATTCTCCAGTCGATGGCGCTTGGGCAGCATGGAACCAGTGGGGAACGTGTACTGTGACATGTGGTAACGGAACACGGTCAAGAAGTAGGAGCTGTTCTGATCCACTGCCTCTCAATGGCGGGCTTCAATGTCCCGGATCGTCCGGTGATTTCAGCGAGTGTAACACACAAGCCTGTCCTGTTCCTGTGGCTGGCGTATACCAACAGGTTAGAAAATATTAATGCATTTGTATTTATTAAAGAACCATACATATTTATTCAATTTAAATGATTAAATGACAGAAATTCCCGAACTTATTATGTTTGTATCGTTCTATAGTTGTGTCCGGTGAACTGGTTTACCTGTGAGAGTGGTCAGATTACCTGTATAGACAAGGCATACATGTGTGACTGTGACAGCGACTGTGACGACGGAAGTGACGAAACAGAGGGATATGCCGGGTGCAATTCCTACCTGCTGCAGTCCTGTGGAAACGGTGCTAACAGTAAGTTATCCCCTACATAAATTGAAAAACATATGTTAGAATATCAATTCTTCATATGCTGTCTTTATTTAAATCAATTCCAAATGATTCCGAGTAAATTGAGATCCCAATTTTTGACCTGAACAAATCGAAACGATCAATACCGGAACGTAATTTATTCAATGATGTTTGTAATATATATAATTATTTCTTGTTAGACAGTATTGTTCGCAATAAGACATAAGACATTTGAAGTAGGATGTAAATACTAAACTTCCATATACGCTTTTATTACTTAATCTTAAATATCTTGTATTTATTGTAAATTAATAAATAATCGAAATCGATCAGTTTTTATAAAAGATTTTATTTTCATTTTCTTTAGGTGTCTTGCAGTTGTCTAAGTGGCTCATTGCGTTGGTCTTGTCCTCTATATTGTTGCTGAGAAAGTGACGCGATTGCTTGTTAGACTGATGATAATGATGCCATAGTGTTACCTGACTTTTTCCTGGGATAAGAAGCGCATCAAGTGAATTAATATCGTCACTAGCTTGCTTATGGATTTTAAGGAATTAATGTCACAGCCGTTTCAGCTCTTTTACTGCAGACATTTAGTTCAATTGAGTATTTTACCGAATGTGATACTCCCAGTTTAAGGCCAAAATGTCGTCCAATAAAACAAAACCCTTAGCGTAAGAGGTGTTTATTTCTAAATAGAGTTATCATTCATCATGAGTTTTTATCATCAAGTTACATTCGGTGATGATTATTATTATGTTATTGTGCTTTATGATTTTCAAATGGCAATGTTTCAATAGAATGCTTCCAATGACGTCAATGTTCTTCTTGTAAAGCTATGTCTTTAATGTTCAGAAATGCAACCCTGATAATTTACCTGGTTGAATATCAGTGAAAAAAAGATAACAATCCTTAAATGTATGACCTTGATTCAAGGACAAACAAGGTTACATAGGATAGTCTCGCAGTCTGAACGCCTTCTCCACTGTCCACGTTTTGTATGTCGTTAGAATATTTAATGTCAAAAACTATGATTAATCCTTTTCAAAATCATGAATTAAAAAATACCTCTGTATAAAAAGTTTATTTCTGTTTTTTCTCCACTATATTTCATTCAGCCATGTTATTGCATATATTTCGTTTTATTTTGACAAATCACACTTTTGTTATTTTGACACAACACCAACCAATCAGAGAGCAAGCCTTAGTTTGAAACTGTGATGACAAAATGGTCCTAATCGCAATACGGCATTCCTTTTCCTTATCTTTGGAGAGGTGGAAGACAACTTTATCTACGGAAGGTCAGATTAAAAATGTTACAAATTAGGATTTCAAGAACGTGTCTCCATCTTTGCGATGTATGCTGATGTAGTGGTGTAGAGACGTTGGTGTATTTGCCTCCTTACGATAGCGCAGATCTGATGCCACCTTTATATATAATAATACTCTAAGTTTCCTGATTAATTACAGTTATATTTCATACAAGATTTGAACATATTTATCAATTATAGGCTTTTGTTGAAGTGAGTTTGTGGTTACATGGTCCTTAGAAACCAATATTTACCGCGGATAAGTTGTTTCAGAGCGATATATGTAAAGGAAACACAAATTAACCGTACAGATGTCCTGAATTGTTGTATTATATATGAAACTATCATTTTGTATCATTAAAAAAGGCGGAACGTCAGTAGATTGTCCAGAGATCTACAAATGAGATTCATTTTTGCAGAGAGTATTGTGATGTCAATAACAAAAAGTACTGCCCTCCGCCTGATTTTAATTCAACCGATGAGGACGTAGGAACAAGTATATTGTCTACGTGAAATATTTCGTAAAAGCAAGATTATCGTCTATATAAAAGTATATCAACTTAAAAAGATATCTCATTGACACACCAATGGTTGGGTGTAAAATATCAGTCTGATTGCTGAATAATGTTTATGGCAGATAGTACTTATTACATTATTTATTATCGTTATTAGCATATCAACTAAATGGTGGTCAGTCAAACTTAAGACATTTGTACTGTATTCAACAAACTGCTATTAATATCATCTTAACCATGTATACAACACCTATTGTCTTACAATGATGGCATAATGTATGATTTTTATATTTATTTTCATGGACCATCACTGTCTTTGTGCAAACAGTTCTCGATATGACTCATCAAGTACATCGGAGATATTGACAATATACAATGTAGTCTCATTTAAACTATTACATTACACCTTAACAGTCACCTAAATAGTAAGCATCGACACCATGTTACCGCCCAATTGGCTTTAGATTTCGTCATGTTGAATAAAAAGAAGATTAGGATAATCGGATGGTAGAATATAGTAAAGAACAGCAACAGCAACTGAGGAGGTATCATTGCAAGACATTGTAAACTCTCTCACATATTTGAAGGCGAAAGAGGAAAAATCCGTAAGGGTAAACGTTTCCTACATCAAATGTGACTTACAGCATCAGGTCAAGTGTCAAACCAAGCACAGAAAACAAACAATATCAACAAATACATTTTATAAAGGTAAATTATCAATACGAATTATGAGCAATTTAAAAAAAATCAACAGTTTTAATGTTATAACGAGATATTGATATATAGGGAAAAAATTACCGGTTTCATACTATTTAAAACAGTCTTTTTGGCAATCGGCATTGTTAAGAATACCTATAGACGATTATATCTTTCCATTTAACCGATTTAATAGGTTTATTAAAACAGGGGAATGACTCACCCGCTGTAAATCCTTTCAAAATGCAGCAGTTCAATGAAACATGTATTACAATATTATTGATTAGCCCTAAATTCCTATACCTATAATCGTTACAAAATTAGTGCATACTAAAGTCGAGTTACGCTTCAACAATGCTTAAATTTTGACTTAATCCAACTTATTATTAAGGTCAACTATGGATGAACGCTTTTTAAACATTCAACTTTTACCTTACCAGCTCAATCAACGACTCAAAAAGGACACCAAATCAGATTATATGTGAAATATTAACAGAACAAGTGTAATTTGTATAAGCTGTTTTGTTTTGCGATTAATACATTAAGTAAACCAGAGGGTTGTCATGCCTATTAAGTAGCAAATGTTTCCTTGTTACAATAAATCTGTCGTCGCGAATTTGTAACATACTTTTTAAAGGTATTGGTAGTCTGGAACTACTGCACCTGATTGTATATATATTACCGGTATTAACTATAGTAATGAGAAGATTTAACTTGTAGGTCAGAAAACAATGGTTCTTTAAATCCAGTTAAATGTCTAGTCGTGTCAAAAACATATCTGAGTTACTGGTATTCGGATTCAACCGTTGTAAAGTAGCAAATGTAGGTATAACTTGTCAACGCTATGGTACACTATATATTTTCACGGTGAAAAATTTGAGAGCAATGATTTAAAACGCTGTTCATTTGTATTTACATACAATTGCATTGTAGATTGTCACCGTGGTAAAATATAAGCTTCTTTATTCCTACTCAGATAGGAAAAATATGTCTTCAGCTCAATTAGAAGCCAGACTAGTAAACCGGAAGTCCTAGGCTTGATCCCTAGCGAACGCGTATTTTATCTGCACTTCACAAAGAAGTCGACTTTGCTTGCTGACTAACATTTTGACACGTTTCCTTAAATCTGTTTTACTTTAATATATGTTTTTATTGTGTATATTTTATTCGATACGTTGTAATACTATAATGTTTAATTTAAGAGTCATGAACACAGCAAGGGTTTTCAAAAAACGCCTGTGTAAAAATTAATCCATGACCCGCCTTTCATAATTTAATCATTATCTTGTCGATCAATCATGATCAATAATTACATCTCGTTCAAAGCAATAAAATATCAAAGATATCCAGTGTAGTAATGTTACAATGAAACCATATTGGATAAACAAGAATTTGCTTAGTAGATAGTAAACTACAATGTTTATATAATATGATATAAAACGTTATTCGGAGTCATTAACAAATAAGTCCTTTTCCTGAAGTCATTAATCGTCTTATTACCGAACGTTCAGAGGGTAACTGTTTAACAAAATAAAATGCCATATTGAGCATGACAGACGTTGAACTGCATTCGTCCAGTCATATAAATTATTTTCAAAATCAGTTGTATACTTGGAACCACTATTTCCATGTTCATCTCTGTAATTAGGATCAACCGGTTATCACACAAATAACAATTATTCTAATAAATGTCCATGCTATGTGTAATATCTACAATAGGCTTTTCCGAGTGAATGAAAAAACTTTGAGACAATTCTATATGAGATGAGAAATATACATGATTTACAGTTCCTTTTATTATCGTATTACCAGGAATCCCTGTGATATTCGAAAATTAGTTTTTTGATCATTGTTGTAGTTATTCAAAGTAACCATCTAAAAGTCATGTCTAGTGTCTCAATTTAAATTGAAACGAAACGTTGACCTACTTTAGGAAGCGGTATCGTGTATGGAGGCGTTCCCAGTTGGTTTCCTTTTTGAAGATGTGAAAAGAAGTGTCATGTGCATATAGGCCTTAATTGCTTAACAGACAATGCATACGAGGGATAAATACTCCCTTACTGACACACCATCTATCAGTGATGCATTAAATGTATAAACTCTTGACGCGCTCAATATTTTAGAAAATTACAGCATAGGCGATGGCAAGATATGTGCCCGCACGTTACACTTGGGGGCAACGTCATGACCATGGTGTACCGCCTTTGGCCATTGAAAGTATAGACTGGCCCCGTCTCTAGAATATTGAATTATTTAAGGAATGATTTTTATTTTTTCAACATTTATGAGGTCATAACAACAATGGGTTTTTGGACATATTGAATGAATCGCGTTAGCGATTCATGTAAAATATGTCCAAAAACCCATTGTTGTTATGACCTCATAAATGTTGAAAAAATAAATATCATTCCTTATATTTACATTGACGAATCCTTTCAGTGGATCGATATAACAACGAATAAAACAAATAAACAGGGTTTGTTCCTGCTTATACACGGGTGCAACGCAGTGGCGAGAACAGTGTTTTTTCGCGGGGAAATGTGACACTATCGTGAGAGATCTTAGCAACCGTCAACAACAATAACACAACAAAATGTAGTTCCATATTCAATGTTTATTTGTAGCACAGGACACGTGAATACGTGGATATTTCACCAAGCACAGTTCAATAATATTTTAAGATGTAAGAATTAAGCATCTAGGTCGGTCGTTCCGAGTGAGTTGTTTTTGTAGTGTATTACTACGCAGTGTGATCAGGTTACTATCAGTTCCCACGTGCTGAGATTCTATGAACACCTGTGTTATGCATTTATGAACGTAATTTTTGTCAATGGGTCTAAGCATACAGAATGTAAATATTAAGAAATAAACTAACTCTTGTATTGTTTATCACTACGGGTATCTGATTCTTGAATAGGGGGAGATAAGCTAGTAGCAAAATGCAGTTGAGAAATCTTGATATAAATGCTAGTAGACAGTCTAGTGAAATAACATTGGTATACAAGGAAGAACCAATGCCAAGTCCTAGAACTAGATTTATAGGAGGGGGTTGGGGGCTTTGATATAACAGCCAAGGAATAAGAGGGGGAAATATTGCACTACTTGCCAGCTAGATTTCAGCGCTGCGGTAACACCCTGCTAACCAAGGTCTCGCTAGTTCAATAACGTCGATCTTTGTCAGTAGGCCGATCAGTGCTCTCCCGCACCTTTCACTAGAAGGTCTAAAACACCTTACAAACACTTACCCTATCAGGTCAACCAACGACGCTTATAGAGCGACAGAGAGATTTCCAGATTATCCCTTTAAACTCTTACATTGCAAGTGTATATATAGAAGTTTTATTGTGTTTTCATTAGTGTGCCAAAGTATTACAGACTAATATTATTGGTAAACGGTTAATTCTGTCAGGTTCTAAAACGTTTATAAATAAACGAATAACTTGGTGGACGTGAACTTGTGACATACCGGTAATATAGGTTTCATAAAAAGGAGGATTGAATAAAATGTGTAGGAAAACCGTGGTTTTATTAACTCTTTC